TATTTTATTGTTTACATGTGTCAAATAATCAATTGCAAATGTCAAAATACCAATTGCTTTACTATGGCAATTTTGCTTTCTTGATGTTGGCAGTAACTTATGGTCTCTTTCCCACATTAGGGTTTTTAATCAAAATATTAACCTCCTATGTTTAATGGCGTGAAAAAATATAGCCTAAAGCATGACGTAAGTGTAGGGCTTTTTGTTACAAAAAATATTATTCAAAAATATGCTATAATTGCTGACATCTAAGGCAACAAAGAAGTGTGTGTTTACGCTTTATTATAATAAGTATAGATTTATTCGCAGATATGTGCACGGTGCATATCAATGCCCTGATGTTCAACTTAGAAATTTGAGCAGCAAAACGCAGAGATTGTGCCCGGAGTGGCTGATTTTAAGTTCCATGCTACGATTACAATTGTAAAAAAATATTATAGTTACGTTGTTCAAAGTTAAAAATCAATGAAAGGTATACAATCTTAATGGTCCAGTGGGCGGGCATTCAACACCCACAAACTCTTTATTGGACTTTGCAAAGCGTTGTCACCTTTTAAAACAGGCTTTAGAGGCTGCCCCTCACTTCAATGTTACTTGATGAATTTTAAAACCAGATATATTGAGAGCGCGACGAAACAAACATTTCAATCTTACTAACATTATAAATGCGAATGTCTATATAGATGGATGGATTTTTGTTAGAGTTGAAGCCTAAACGGCTGAACGGATTTCGGTGAAATTTGGCTTAGACGTAGAAGATATTGTGGAAGAACGCATAGGCTATTCACTTTTGGTTTTTTTTTTAATTTCACGCGGACGGAATCGCGCGCAAAAGCTAGTTGAATTATAGTGTCACAATGAAAAACTCGGATTTCCTAACAAATTAAAAAACAGTATCAATTATTTATTAATTTTGTATCAGTTATTTAATTTCTGAATTTAAATTTATCTTCAAGGATGATTACAAAATGTTAATCTGTAGGCTGTGTTGAGTAAGACAAGCATAAAGTCGCCTGCGCACGCCCTTGTTACGGCTTCAGTTCCATATACGAGCATACCATCTTCATATAAGGTGACCGTTAAGTAATTAAAAATACTGGTTTCGCAATATAAGAAAAGAAGATGAGTAAATATATAACCGGTGTACTCAAAGTAGTTAAGACACTCTGAGGGACCTTACGTCTCTGAGTATGCTAGTCAAAATTGTGAATTATCAAAACCATTTAACACTAAAGAGTTTTAAGTCTACGAGTGTAACTCTGAGTTTTAAATATTAAAAAAGTCTTTTTTTTATATAATATAAGGTGGCAAACGAGCAAGCGGCCTGAATCCGCCAAAATGGCGAAGCGACCGCTGCCCATAGACATCCGCGATCGCAGATGCGTTGCATACCCTTATCCGACGGAGGAGGAGACGCACATAAAGAGGATATTGCCCCTTCCTATGCATCTCCTCCACCGTCAAATCCACTTCCCCTTCCCATCCTCTCCTTATAAGAAAAGGGTGGTAAAGAGAAAGGGACTTAACTTAGGCCTCCGGCACCACACTCATCAGACGAAACACGGAATTGCTTCCATTTCACGCCTGTCTTCTGTGTGGTCGTGGTATTACACCGGGCGTGCCGGCCTATTCGTGCTAAGATGTTAAAGCGGGCACTACCACTGTTAAAATAAGTCTTGCTACAAGCGAACAATTTCGTTTAAAACAAAAACAGTTCAAAGCTTTACATTTTTACGCTTCAAACTAAAAAAAATATATAAAGGTTTAGGATTAAACCTTTTTTTATACTAAAATTCCAAGAAACATCTAAAATCTCATCTAATGAATTACAACATAAATCTCTTTATAAATGCAAGATCTAAGCAAACATTGCCTTCGAGGCCTAGTTCTTGATGACGTAAGGTAGATACATTGCAGATAATATGGTGATTCCACATTCACAGCGACGTTCTCACTTCGAATTCTATAGCCGTGGAGCACATAAAATTGTTGCTGCAATAAATCTGCTTCACTGTTTATATTTATTGCTGTTCTTGGATTGAATATTCCCTAAGTATTTAACGATAAAATTTTTATGTTTCTTAATACGTCTATGTACACATATAGTAGTACTCTATAAGATATTGAAATGTACAGCATTATTATATGCATAAGAGCTTCCGCAGACTACAGACTTTTATTGCGCACTTATGTCCGGTTTCCCAGCTACATTTAACTATTCGTTAGTAATTTTCGTGCTATAATTATATGATTTTCGTTTCCGAACAACGTATCTTGAGTTTGACTTCGTTGAAACTTATATCAACCTAACAATAATGAATCACTAGGTAACTATAAAATCAATGGAAACTTCAGAAAGCCAGCATTTAGGACTTTAATTCTGGCTATTACACACGTAATAGCTTATTGTATAAAATAACAACCTTTATTTAAGAGTAAATATTGTCGCAATATGATGTATTCCTGCAATAGCAATTTTCACATTAAACGGTAGGATTTTAACATACGTTCCGTTTTGCAAGTCTTTGAGAGTGTTTAAGATGAGTTCACGTAGGTGGGATTGCTTAATAGTTTGTGGAGTAAATGTATTAATAAGGCGTAAATTGTGTCACAATCGAGTCTTGATTTGCATAAAATAATATACCTTCTGGTCACATTATAGTTACTCCTTAATTGGTGACTAAGAAAACTCTTTAGGTGCTGGCCGATACGAGGTGAAACATTCGCAATGAGTTGATTGCTCCATGGAGATCCTGTAACACTACGATGTTGACTGCATGAATGTTCGTTGCGACTGCTTGACTTTTTTTTATAATATAAGGTGGCAAACCAGCAAGCGGCCACATGAAACTATCGAAATGAAAAGCGACCGCTGCCCATAAAATTCCGCAATTGCAGATGCGTTGCTTAATTGACGGAGGAGGGGACACACATAAAGAGGACATACATATTCCCTTCCTATGCCTCTCCTCCACAGTCAAATCCACTTTTCCTTCCCATCCTTTGAAAAGAAAAGCGTGATTTAATACCGCGTAACTTTGGCAACTCGATTGAATTTGTACCATTGCTGAAAATATAAATGTATCTAATGATTATAGTTTTTGCATTGACCAGAATGTTTATAATATTATATTTTAACAAATTTAGAACCTATTGTTTTTTTAGCCAGAAAAAACATTTTTTGTTTAATAAATTTTACATATATTTTATTACTTATTTTATCATTAATTAGTTACATAGCAAATAGTTATGTTGTAATAATTTGTGGTTGTATCAGAATAAAAGCTTATTTGAACCAACTGCATTCCTTCAACCGTACAATGAGCAAACAAGTTCCGGTTCTGTTCATGTGTAATTATTACGAATGCGGTAACGTCACTGGCATCGTGGGTGTACAATCGAAGTGTAGGCGTGCAACCTTGACTTGAAGACTAAGCTGGAACGAAACGGCCATCGACATAAGCTAAGCAAATCACTTAATCGCTGTCTTGCGTGTGAGATGCAACCGAATATTGAAAACTTATAAAAACTGGTTGTGTTTTTATTCAACACTAGCTGTTGCTTGCGACTTCACCCGCGTGTTTTAAAATAATGCCTATGTTACTCATTGATAACGTAGCTTTTTAATGTTAGAAGAATTCTTAAAATCGTCCCAACAGTTTTTGAGTTATTTCAATACATACAAAAATACAAATCTTTCCTCTTTATAATATTTGTACAGATACAAGAGTGAATGGCGGTGTCCTAAGCGAATGTTATTGAGTCAACTGATGACGTATCGATACAGATTGTATTAATGTCTACGAAGTTACTAAGACTCGTTAAATCCCGCTATTTTGTCCGCTTGAAATAAAAGAAGCTAGTAGTTTATATCGCTCTTTCACAATGTAATTGTTTAACATTTTAGATCCGTACTTGTACTGTAGTTATATAGTATCGAATACCCATACATCCAAATTTATGGTATTAGTAAGATTAAAGTATATCTACACTATTATAATAAAGCGTAAACACACACTTTGTTGCATAAGATGTCAGCAATTAGAGTATATTTTTTAAAAATTCCTTTTTTAATAAACAGCCCTACACTTACGTCATGCTTTAGACTGTATATTTTAACGCCATTAAACTTAGGGGGTTAAATATTTTGGATAATGTGGGAAAGAGACCACAAGTTGCTGCCAACATCAAGGAAGCAAAGTTGTCATCATGTCATGCGCATGAAGCCGCATGGCAAAAAATTGGTGCATTATGCTTTGTCATAAATGTCATATTTTTATTCAACACTGGTTTATGTTAGGAAGTAGTAGTACATAATAACTAAATACCTTAAGATGTTTTATTTGTCTTAATAGTCGATTACTGTCTTTATTTGAACGAGTTCTATTCAACTAGTTTTATTAATTACTGACCACAAGGTAGAGGGGTCTTTTAATGATCACAGTCACATACATTTACGACCTCTGCATGCGGCGTTAAAAACATTCTTATAAGAAAAATACTTACAGGAAAAATACAACTTAGGAATAAACTGAGTATAAGCAAAATTTGCACTAATAGTTGTTTATACTCAAATTCTATTCTATTCCTAAATTTAACTTTATACCGTATTTATGTGTATTATTTTTGTTTCAACATGTGTAATACTATTTTCAAATGTAGACTACTTTTTGCTCTCGACTCCGTCCGCGCGGATTTAAAAAAATAGTTAATGGGCCTATGTGTTCTTCCAGACTAGATCCGTTTAATTGTTTAGGCTGTAAACTTTAATAAGCATCCATCTAAACTATTGCATTTATAAAATAAAGTAAGATTAGATAAAAGATAATGTTTACGTTAATTGTAGAAGTAATTAACCAAATAGCTAAAGATAATTCAATTTGTAATTAATGCTCGGTCCAAGTTCCGAGGTCAGTGGTTTTTGTTTAAACAGTAAATCAATAGATTGTGAAATATCGCTTAGTTAAATACTAACTTAAAACAAAAGTCGAGGTTCTTACCTTTTCCAATAACTTATTTTTACACAACACTGACTATTAGCAAAGGGCTCGCTCCACACTCATCGAAACAATAAAAACAACTCACACAACACACGTTCTTTTTGCATGGACACTAAAACCACATTCCTTTGAAGGCGCACAAATAATATTACAAAAAAAAGTTCACATCCTTCGTCTGGCCAAGATGCTTCGAGTGCCGTGCGATTATTTTTTAATTTTAAAAACAAATTTATTTAAAATTCGAATGAAGAAATAATATTCCAAATTTAAATTTAAAATGGCGCTTTAATTTGTATTTTCATGTGGTTCGTATTCGTTTTTAATCATCGTTTTTTCTCGCATCGCGACCGCGCGTTCGCTCCTCGTGTGTAGAACTGGCCAGTTGCACTGCGCGGGCGTCGAGACCGAACCGGTCCGTTGGAGCCAAAAAGGTCGTATATCGATAAATTCATGCAAGACCGTGCTTAGCTGAAACATAAGATGATGTCAGAAAAGGATATTTAAACTTGTTCTACCATAACGGGAAGACTTTAAGATGACTAATGTATAATGGTGGAGTTGAATTCGTAAAATTATTTAATGTCTTTCTGCCATTATTAAAGATAGCGAGGAAGGTGACACGATCAAGAAAGGATTGATGTCTGAGATAACTGGAGATAGTTCGATCTGCAGGACAAAACCTCGTACTCTGACCTTACGAGAGTGGGATAAGAACAGGAAGATAAGTCTTTCTGCCACTCTCAGAGTTGTTATTAATTAAGCAGTTCCTTAGTACTTTTAGATTTTTTGTGAAAATGATGTGTGTGTAATGAAATAAATTGTTTCATTTAGGTTTAAAATCTATAGATTTGAATAAGCATACTGTTTTATTTTCACAAGCAGTGCAATAATTTGTTATTTACTTCTGGTAAAGTTCCAATCATTTAATACGAGTACATAAGTCCCATATACGTTAATAGCTTTTCATGTAATGCAACCTCATCAGTATTAGCATTGTCTCGGTCTGGAAGTAAAAACAAGGCTCGCCGAGTGCTCCATAAATAAACATAACTTGATGGTTCTCCGTAAAATATCGTCCGCTTCATGGATAATAAAAACTGGAAGGACAAGTTACATTTTAAGAAAACTTTGAAGGTAGAATAAAAATTAAAAATCTCAAAGGCGGCCAAACTGGTCGATGCAAGATGCAACAAAAAGTGTTCTAAAGACAATGATATTGTTCATGTTTATGGTCATGAGAGTTTGCGATTCGATTTTGTTTTCTTGTTCATAATCAAATGGTTGTTGGTGCAATAATTGTTCTTAGACTGAAATACAGAAGTATTTTTTCCTACTTTAATCGACTAATCGATTTAGTATACTGATTGTAAATATACAACAATAGATAAAATGCATTGTAATGACAGAGCATAGTGTGTTTATCTCGAGATACAAATGACAATTTTTGGTAAGTAATTTTCCATATATCTGTAAAAATCTTTGTTTAGAAGTATCTAATTATGCTTAGTATTAACAATGTGTTCTCTGCAAAGACGTTGTCAGTCCAGAACACGTTATGTAAGTCAATACTGAGAACAAAATGTTTTTGAAACTCTGCTCAGGTTTTTGCAAGTCAAATATGTTTTTTTATAACCTCCATTTCCAATGCAAAACCGGATTTTAACTCTTGCTTCTACCATGAAGTAAGAAAAAAGTCACTAAAGACGAAATATGAACTTTATAGCTTACGTAATAAAAGCAATTTTTAAATGAATACATGCTCGTTTAAAAATAGATTTAATAATAATCGTTCACTTCGAACATCTTAATGTCTGGCGATTTACGTAAAATTAACTTTTAAATTAAGGCCATTAAAATACAAAATTTAGTTTTACTGACAAAGACTAAAGATTTACACTAAAATTTACATTTTAAGATACAAAACAATATTCATGGAAATATGTATTTTGAATATCTGTTTAAATTATTGAGTTACGTGTAAATAATAAGAATAATAGTTGGTATTTACCATAATATTAAAATTAGTTAAATGTCTTTCTTAATAAAAGACTTCAACGCGCAGACAATTTGCAACAATCCGACAATTTCATGAAGTCAAATTGTCAAAGGCAAAAGAAAATCTATTAATTTTGTATTACATTCTGCTTGTCATAATTAAAAAATAATTTAACGATTTCTTGATTCAGGTGATGCTCAAATAACTAAACTTTTGGATAGGATGCTCCTTAATGGACAAATGTTTAAATGCTACAAGTGCTTCCATCTGTTGTATATTATTGACATACTATTTTAGATCGATGTTAATTGTACTTTTACCTCAACAGATGGCGTGGTTTTTAAAATAATAAATACTTGGTTCCACCAAGGGAATGATAGAGATTAAAAACAATGCTACATTTTGAGTTATAAATTATTCCACATAGTTATGAAAATTTTGTATAAGCCCAGTTATTATTGTAACTATTTTGTATGATTCTTAGGTTTGTGTAAAAGAAAACAACAATTTTGTATAAACATTTTAATTTACTATTGTTTTAGTAAACAAAAACAGCAAAAACTTATTTTAAAAATAAATTATCCATACAAATATTGTAACAAAAAGGACCACACGTTATAGTTATTTACTAGTAAGAAATATTTACAAAAGTATAGTTTTTTTTTAGAAAATATCACATTTCTCATTTAATGTGCGTCTAAATATTTTGATAATACAATATTTTAGATTAATTAAATACTAAATAATTGACATTAAACTAATCTTGATTACAATTACACGATTCATATTAAATGCAATCACTGTTAAAATCAAATGAATTGTTTGGTAACTGAATAATTTTTATAATGCTCTGTATTTAAATGAGCAAGATTATTCATGAAAGTTATACATATAAAATAATTGTAAAACACATTGTATTTGAGATTGAAACTTCAAACACTTTCGTTATAATATTTTAGAGAGGTCTTATGAGTAATATAACTATCTCAGCTATTGCTCGGAATCTTCTAATAGCTTGATAAACAGCAATCTTTGAAAACACTCGCCATAGTTCTAGTGAGAAAAGTTCTTTGTCGAAGTTTCTAGATGTCGTTTTAGAGTAAAAAAAATCCATCTTATATTCTGTTCATTAAAATTTCCTTCATGATGTTGAAACTGATGTTTCGACTTTAAGACTTGAACTTAAGTAGCAATGTATTTAAATTTCTCAATTTAGCTAGCTGATGAGCTTGTCTATCCAAGGCACGAACTTCTGTATGTTCGTATACACTCCTGGTAGATGCTCGCGGCCGCAGCCAATACCCCACGAGACCAGCCCTATGAGGGTGCTGCGTCCTTCCATCTTCATTGTTAACGGGCCGCCAGAATCCCCTTGACAGGAATCACGACCACCCTAAAATACATAGTTGTTATGAGTTACCAATAGATGGCGCTATACTATATTTTATAATATCGATAATAAAACCGATACAGTTATTTTATTTGCGTAGAATAATAAAATAAATAATCAATGCTACAAAATGAAATAAAAAAAATCGTTAAGTATTTACCTCTTTATATCCGGCACATAAAAACACGTCATGTATAGTTTCGCGCCTGCCCGCTGCACGGAACCAGCGCTGGCATCGCTCGTTAGGTATCACTTCTACGTCTACCTCCTATTATAAACATTATATTTTATATTTGTGCATATTCCAGAAATATAAGCGTCAATTTAAGGAGATAATCTTTTTTTTGTTTTACCTGTAACACAGATGGCACTGTGCTCTGTCCGTGCCGAGTCCTGCCCCAGCCAGCTACGGTGGCGATCTTTCCAGCAAGCTTCATCTGTTTATGGGGTAGACACACCTGAAAAGGAAAATAAAATAAAATGAAATAAATCCTTTACTATTTCACTTTAAAAATAAACACATTTCATGAGAGCCTTGGCTCCTGCACTAGGTTCCCCTGCGCTGCAGGAGCCAAGCCCTTTCCCCATTTGTGAAGAGCAATACATATTCATAAGTGTCTAAACATAAAATACAAAGAAAAACATTAGATTAACTTTTTATAGAAATGACGAATAACAAAAAAAAAACAAAAAAAAGCAAATGCACAATTAGTTTACGTTGGGTAACTATATTTGAACTTTCGAAACAAAAAGATATATCCATCTCTCTCACTCTGTGTTTCTGTAGAGGAATTTAATATTACTTTCATCTATTTTTTACGGCTGTTCCAGTGGGAACCATAATAGACACTTTAAATATTAGTTTCAAATTAACTTACAGGCAGTATATGTTGTTTGAAGACAACTACTCTATCTAATTGTACCAGGGCGACATCATTCCTGAAGTCGGCAGGCTCGTAAGAGGGATGCACTTCCTTGCGCTGCACTGCAAACTCTTCGTGAGAGTACCTCTCACCCGCGTCTCGCACGTCCCACTCTCCCAGACGGACGCGCAGCTGGGAGTTGGGAGTCCTGGGAAATTATTTATGGTATCTTATCAAGGCGTATACTAAATAATATTAAGGGTGTGGAACTAAAGAGCAAATAAAATTCCTTTTTTTAATCCTAAGGGCCTGTCTCACCACTGGCTGATAGAGGCTCAAATAGTTGAAAAATGACGTCACTGTCAGAAAAGGTAACAAAACCCGGTGTTTCCATCACATATTTAAACGTTTGGTTGTTATCAGACAATTTACAATTTGGTGGGACAGGACCTAAGACTTTTCCCGTCATTTTATTTGTTGCTTCAGACCATGCCAGTCGCAGTAACCAATTGATAAACTGCTTTAGACTACTAATTGCTGATATGATACTAAAACTAAGTAGAAATATAGACTTACGTGGCTACACAGTGAGCTGCAGTAACAACCCATCGATCTGATACAAGCGCTCCTCCACAGGCGAGTTTCTTGCTGAGGAAGCCGGACTTGATGAGCGCGGCTTGCCAGGGGTGCGAGCCGAAGCCAGTTGAGTGACCGCCTACGATACGGTTAGACCGAGTGTAGTGTTCGCCGCAACCTGGAATATTTAAGGTAAAGGTAATTTTGTAAAGAATAATTGGATATAAGCATATCAGCCGTTGTAGATTGCAACTTGTTATGTCTCTCTGTTTTCTAGTAGTAAATAGCACGTAAATGTACTTCGTTAATTTACTTTAAGTTCAAAGTTGGTTCTAGAAATTTTACAACATTGTTAGCTCATGTAGAGTCATCGTAGGTAGCAGTTAAATGTCTTGTCACATTAGTTCATTTTGCTAGAATCTTCGATGCGATGTTCTCGACGATTTTGAACATCTTCACAGTAATTTAAAAGTGGATAGGTAAAGATAAAATTGTCCTTTTTGGAGTAAAACTGTTAAAAATCGCAATAACAATTGAATCAAACGAAGCACCACCGACAGTGTTATAGCCAAAAATGTGAAAAGCAGGTGCTGTACAAATAATAAGAAAGTGCATGATGATTATGAAAACGCAGTGCTGGCATTATAGAAGCAAGAAACAGTTATAACGATTATTGACGTGGAAACTTAAGTTGAAACAGAATTTAGTACACAATTATTTGTGTTAGCAAAATTATTTATGTTAATTGTTAACGTCGATTTATCATTTGTTGTAAGTACGAAGTTATTGTACATTGAATTACTTTTTAAAGAGCTTTCAAGATTTAGTCTTAAATAACTTTACATTGCATTTTCTATTGAAAGGTAACAAATAATATAGAACTTGAGTTTCCCGTCTTCATTTTATCCAAGAATATTCCCGTAAATTTTGTTTGAAAAATTTATCTCACCCGGAAAACTAGGTTTCTGCGGTTTATGACCGCTCGTGTGTACTGGCACATAATCATCATCACCATCAGCGTTATTTGCACCCACGAAATGATTTGATGTGTAAAAGTCGTCCTGTGTTGGATGTACTGTAGTGCTTTCATGGTACGATGGCTTCACATGAAAATAATTATTCTGATCGTAATTTGGTTTATTCCAATCCAGATTCGGCCGGTTCTGGCCACTCGAATCCGGTTCGGGCCGGTCCGTTACTGGATTCGGCCGGTTGTAGTGTGGCTTAGGTCTGTTTGGCTCCGTGTAGATAATAATTGGGTCCTCAAATTGGTTAGTATCGGTCTGGTAATCGTAGTTGTGTGGGAATGTACCGATGATTTCTATCAGATCACCTGTATAGAACGTTCGTTTGTTTTAATGTGATGCAAGTAGATGTATTGATGATGTGATACTATAGATCACTATGATTTTAACAAAGTCATTAACAATTTGACGTTGTCCATATGGGGCCTGTACTGCTGCTTTTCCATACATCTCTAGCACGCGTCATATCTGACTTCTCTCCCTTCTTAAGCATATCCATTTGCAATCAATGCATCCTTACTTCGGTCTTCCTCTACCTTTGTATCAAAATTGAATCTTAATACTTTTCTGTTTATGATACTATTATGTCATTTGACATAATGAAAGGAAAATGCTCATACATTTTAAACTTTAAAATAATATTTACGTTGTTTAGCTTGTTTAAAAGTTAATTCGACTTAAGACAATTTTAAGTATGCAAGTTAGCAAAGAAAACAGACGATGTATAATAATTTGCTTTGATAAAACATTGTACCACACGCATATGTTTTTTTTAATTCATGTTCGTTTCATGTAACTATGCAAATAAATTATCGGCCAGTTTTATTACCTTTATAAAAACTAATATTTTTTCTGATATATCTGATTTAAAAACTTTCAACTCGATTATAAATATAAACTTACATTACGTAATAATGAAAATAAAAACATCCTTTATACCATTTCGTCTCGACTTTTACTTTCTTAAGAATTGCGTAACTGTTACGTTTTATGTTTTTGTCCTACATTTTGAGTCAAGTTGAAATTGCTTTTGTGGAGATAAAGTGATCGTTACCATTATTTTTTGATAATTGTTATTAACCTTATTAAGTTGAAAGCAGAAGTTCAACTTGCTTTTAATCTATTGTCCATTAAAGGTACTATGAATCGACTTTACATTATAAATATTAGGAAAAGTTATTTGTCACTAGCTGTTGCCCGCGACTTCATCCGCGTGGTGTTAAAAAAATTACGAACTATTTAAATAACAAAAAGCTACGTTTTCCTCGGGAACCGGACATTTCTCGGGGATGAACCTTATCCCATGTGTACTCCAGACTTTTTTTTTATATCTGTGCCGAATTTCAATAAGATATGTTGAACCGTTGCAGAATGATATTAAGCTATGTGTTCCTATGTGTTTTTCCAGATTATGTTCTACATCTGTTCCGAATTTCATGGAGATCCGTTCAGCTGTTTAGGCTACAAACTTTAACAAACATCCATCCATCCATCCATCTAAACTTTCGCATTTATAATATTAGTAAGAAGTAAGATTTACGTTTGGAGTATCGATTTGCAAACTGCAATCTCTGGGTTTGTCTCGCCATGTATTCATTTGTTTCTCAATTTTCGAATTTCATATGTACTCAACCTTATAGTAAAGGAAAACATCGTGATTCAACCTGCACATATCTGTTACAAATTCAATTATGTGCCTGTAATTTAACTCGCAGTGGACCAGCGTGATTATCTATAACCTAGTTACCCCTAACTTAGGCTCCGAGTCCAATGGGAACGTATAACTGGTGATAAGGAATTTGTCATTAGCGCTACGTCTTAACTAAAGCATGCTACGCATTAGTCGTTCACATTAGTCCAGAGTGGATTAAGTACTTTACAAATGTCTTTGATTTCATTCGTATACTAGCTGTTGCTCGCGATGTCACCGGCGTTAAATTAAAAAAATGTAGCTTATGTTACTCACTGATAACGTAGCGTTTTAATGGTGAAAGAATTTTTAAAATCGGCCCCGTAGTTTTTAAGTTATATCAATACGTACAAAAACAAATCTTTCTTCTTCATAATATTAGTATAGATAATGATATGGGTGGCCCTTAATGATTTGTTAAACCTAAATTCTACTTTATAATAGAACTAGCTTTCGCCCACGACTCCGTCCGCGCGTAATTTCAAAAAAAAACAAAAGCATATAGCCTATGTATTCTTCCAAACTATCCTCTACATCAATGCCAAATTTCATCTAGATTCCTTCAGCCGTTTAGGCTACAAACCCTAACAAACATCCATCCATCTATCCATCCATCCATCTAAACTTTCGCATTTATAATATTATTAAGATAGAAAACCTTTACTGGAGTTGTAGTTGCATAAATGAAAGGTTTCCGTGAGTGAACAGCGACCGGATATGAAACGAAATCCCCTAATTATCATCTATTTTTCTTATCACGTGTCCCTCTTAAGCAGTGTTATTACACACCATTGTGTTTACGGTCCAATGGACGTGATACAATTCGAGACTTTCACTTAAATTTCACTTAAATCTCTCCGTGCTTGAGATATTTGTAGCTGGTATGGCTAGAAATAAAGGGTTACTCACCTAAAGCATATTTATTTTCCTTCATTTAATGGTGGATTTTCTACTCCCGAAATACGTATAAGGGACGGTAATTTTTCTTCGGGTAATATAACAGTGGTAACCTAAGTTAATCAGTTCAAGTAATAAACTTAGATAAAGAAGTCGGACGCATTTGAAGTATCATCTGCATGTGTGATGTGAATCGGATGTGCTTAAATTTTACTTAACTGGAATTTTATGTGAATTATCACATAAGAAGTACAAAGAAACACACCGGATGTAACCCGGTTGCTTTTGCGGAGGTACGTAATCTACGGATAGGACTAACAGCGCGTGAACTGTTGTGGTACAAGTGATTGACTCGAAGCGATTTCTTAAAATTATATCTAATTAATCGTTTTACTATAAATGGTAGTGTTTTTATTATTTGTAATGACATAATTCGATTTAAATTACTTTAATAATACGTTTGTCTTAAATAAAATAGTTAAATGGACCATGTCATTCTTCATTTGTTTTGTCTACATAACCCAATAGCAAACAATGGCTACTGTCAGTTGAAAATGTATTTGAAAATAAATACTATTTGCGATTTTGAAATTCGAATACAGTGGTGTTCTTATCATAAGGACGTGTGATGTTTGAATATGCTTTCGCGTTTCTCTTGTACCAAAGATTAGGAGAGAGCGTTATTGTTATACAAATATGACGCGATTTCATAACAGAATGCGTGAATAAAATCATAACACAAGTAGCCGTCTAAGACATCCACTATAAACTTAACTTTTAACTTAAGCAACTTTGATAGACAATGCAATCATGGACTCCAGTAACTTAATTACTTAAATTTCGTTATGATTTAAATAAATTAAGTATCAGGAGATGACTTTTCTATCTATATATAGCTGACATAATTTAATAAAATGCATTGGAGTATAACTTAATTTATAGACTCTGTCTAACCAATTTTTAATGATAGTTAAGATATAATAGTTATGCACAAGAAGGTTTATTATAAAAAATAGGTTAATTTACGTTCAGTTGTACATAGATAAACGAAGGTCCAAGGAACCGCGATATTTTTCCGCTAATAGAGGTTTCTCTAATCCGAGTAACTCGCGAGTATGGGAGGCATCTGACATAGGACAATTGACTCTCTTTTAGAGGTTACAATCTCATCCAATTTTCGCTTATCTATGTTCAAATGTATTGTATTATTAACGTCACATACAATTTGTTAATCACGAATAAAAATCTATGTAAACTGCTTCCGTGACCTTTTAAAGATTGTGGATACAAGAATGTCAGTTATTTGGAAATATCATATTTAGATGATATTCTATTTCGTCGAGTACCGGAGGCCTAATTTCAGTCCGTTTCCTTGCCCATTTTCATGTACGGTAAGGATGGAAAGGGAAATGGTTTAGATTGTGGAGGAAACGCATAGTAAGGTGAAATATCCTCTTTATGCGTCTCCTTCGTTGAATCAGGGTGGGCACCGCATCTGCAATTGCGGATTTATATAGGCAGCGCTTCGTCTTCTCAGGGAGTTCAGGTGGTCACTCCCTCGTTTGCCATTTTACAATATAAAAAATACTTACTTGCGTTATGTACAACAGGGGCTGTTTCGACAGGTTTCTCGGTAGTGTCCCTGTCGACGCAGCATGCCCATATCATGCCACCGGAGCAGAGGTCGAGAGGTTTCCCACCGCCTAGCACGCAGGATATGCTCAGGCCGCACGGATGCCGAGCACCACGCCACCGACAAGTTTGTGGTATCACTGGAATACATAGGTACCTGTCAAACCTTTCATATTTTAAATAATAATATACGCGTTAAATGAATGAAAAACGATTATGATAGTACATAAAAGGTAACAAAGAAGTCTTTACTGTTGTGCGATTGTCGATTGTTTCGCAGCCCTCAACTGTTTAGTTGCTTAACAAAAATCGAGTAATGTACGCACCTCCACATAAGCTCATAGGAAACGAGACTAAACAGTTGTTCGATTTTGTCTCAAGTGTGCACGCTCTTATAGTAAACTTTTAATAGTTAAGTATGCATATTTTTCGATAGATGTACACGATTTACGATTTCCAATGATAGTCAAATACAATTTAAATGAAGCAAACATAAACAGATTACCTTGTTAAAGACAGTTTTCTTTATCAACAAATTAAAAAAAAAAGTCTGCTTACATGAACTGCTTACTGCTTACATGATATTGTTGCAAGTACAACATAGATAGTCGCCAGTGTTAATCTTCTTACTAATATTATAAATGCGAATGTTTAGTTGTATAGATGAATGGTTGTTAAATTTTGCAGTCTAAACGGCTGAACATTTTATTTTTACTCATTTTTTTCAAATACATTGTGTAATATACATTGTATAATATAGATCAGTTAAATAGCAAATGAATAAATGAATTACGAAGTAAGGGAAGTCATTGGCTCCTTTAATACAGGGAATCAACCTAGTAAAGGAGCCAAGGATATATAATTGAACAAAATACAATTAAAATAAAATACAAATTAAAATTAAAAGTGAAAAAAAAAAGCGTGAAATGTATTTGAAAAATTATATTCGAATTGTAATATTGTATGTATAAATAAATAAAAAAAAATTATACTGTTCGTTAGACCGAGCGAATATGTATTTAGAAATACGCCATCAATCAATAGTAAGAGCGTTTGTACTGCACTTGATAGTGAAACTGATCATGTCGGTCGATCACCGCTGCACTGATTTATACGTTCACGTGCGTGTTTACTGTTTTTATTTCTTGTTACATTACGTACTAGCGCACCGCCCCAGCTTCGCCAGGGTTGCAAGACTATATTTTTTTGTCATACCCATACTCTTTCTGATGATGTTCCGTTTATCATACATTAACTGTTGCTCGCGATTTCGCCTGCGTGAAATTAATAAATAATTTAAAATATTGCCTATGTTACTTGATAACCTTTTAATTCTGAAAATCTCCCCCGTTTTATTGAGTTATTTCAATCCATGCAAAAATCTTTCATCTTTATAATATTAGAATAATAGGCTAGCATAGAACGGAATTTTCAAATCGTATTATTTTTCAAAATTAAATAGTAAAATAATAATTTACTTAGGTTAATGTGCATGAAGAGAATTTTGATTCTTGTGAAATGGAACGTGGGAACATTACTTGTTATGTAATTTGTATAACAAAAGTTTTTAACGTATTACATCACTGAAGTATTCATTTCTTCTAGTTCAAATATCCCTAAAAAATGTACTCTGTTTTTTTTTTTAATATTATATGGTTCAGTTACAAGCAGTATTCCTTCTGGAAGAAGAAAATACTATTAATTGAAAATTAATCGATTTTTATAAACAGAGTGTAACTAAGATATTATAAATAACAGGTTACTAACAGATATAAAAAAAAACAGGTTGTGAATTATCTAATTGTTGGCAAAAAACTATTAATATGTTTATTAGGGTGTTTTCATTATAGTTTCACTTGTAATCTCGTTTGTTATTCGTACGGCATGTAAGTAAAACTGATAGATTCAAAATGTTTGTATGTAAGTTGAATCTAAATTTATATTTACAAAAACTTAATTTAATATAGTTTACTTCTTATGTAGGTTGTCCAAAAAAGAGAGGACCATAAATATCTTTGTCCCAAATAAAGTTTGGGCTAAATTTTAGGAGAATACTCACTTTTGCCTAATAAATCCATTATAGAATCTTCTTGTGGAGCGCCATAAGCGTTGTGATAAGAGCCTTTCCTTCTTCCTAATGCATCTAGAAGTAGGATATCTTTCTCCTGCTCATTGGCTGGTCTTCTTCTATCAGATGCTATGTCATCTTTTAAATTCAAGTCTTCTAAAGTCAGCACGTCGTTGTCACTTTCAGAGTGCACGCAACTTATAAAAGCCGTTGACAATAAAAGAAAAGAAAACGTTCCAAATTTGAAATTCACATCACAAATTCTTCTGCGTATTTTGAAGTTCTTTTTTTGAAATCTTCCCGCGATCGAATCCGGTATTACGTATTGTGTACACATTTTCACTTTTGTATTTGGCACATTGTTCACCGTTTTATCATTTTTTATTTATATTTAAGTTTATTTTTATTTAGACGTCCGATCGCGGTTGTCTTTCGGAAGTAAAGAGTTGCTCGCTACGGTGCGTTTCTTTTCACTTTCTGTCAGTAGCGGACAGTAACATTTTCTTTGAGGTACACAAGAAATAATGATTATGCAGCTTTGATTTATATAACGGCTCATTAAAATATCGTTAAGTGGAGTCATAGAAGAGATTAGACATCGTCACTCATCCGGTCTAGCATTTAGAAAAGGATTGGTAAAGAAATTATATAACAGAAATTCAAACTTTAAGCTGAAATGTTTAGAAGATAATATTTTTACTTTATAATAATTAGTTATGTGGCTTGTAGCAATAACAGTATTTTTTTAATCATTCTTTTTATAAATTTTTCATGTTGTTAAATGGTATTTCAGGTAAAAATTGTTTTTAATGGAAATTTTTATAAGCAATGATTAAACGGGGATTTAAATAAACGCAGTATAGATACAATAATGACGTAATTAATTCCAACAGAGGCGGGGACGATTATACATGGATTTATTCTTTTGATACTTTTTGAATATCAATCAGGCAAATATTCATATAATATTTTTTGTTTAATTCTATTTTCTCTATTCAACGGTCAAAATTATCAAAAATATCTCATTATAGATAAAATCGTTTTTAATTAGGACAATTATAATCTAGATAATTACTTAGATTGTATTAATCTAGATGTAATTTATATTGATTTATCTAAATATTTTATTATGCACACGCAAGTATCAAAACTGTGCAATCACACACACCATAGTTTGCAGAGACGACTTTCGCCTTAGCTTTCCAAAACACGGCCTTAGGTATTCTTAAAACGGCCTAAGTGAATGTAAAACCTAAAGGAAATGCAGTCCTGTTGAGAATATTTCAGTGTCCACATTCGCTTGCTTTCGAAGTACGTAAGTTGTAGTTCTTGTAACTAGAAATTTAATTTTAGATTATACCTTAAGGAAATGACTTATAAAACTGAATATTCTTGCAGTAGGTTAAGGGTACTTGGTTAAACTAGTCTACTTTCTTTTAATATGGTACATTTAGCGTTTTAGTAAGCCAGTTGTGGCGTTTAATTTGTGACCAATTCGTTTCGTCGGACCGCTTCCGGTTTTTCGGAAGTTTTTAAAGCGGCGTTTTCTACAGTTTTTCTTTTATTAGGTATTTATATCAGTCGTTGGATTAATTTTTAGAAAGCTTTTTGTTTTAAATCAGTTTTCTTTATTATAACTACACAAAAAAAATAATCCTATATGCATAAAATTATCCTCAATTAAATGTTTTTGCACATCTTGAAGGTGATGAACGATGTTTAAAATCGTCTTAGACTGGATTACTGTTATTAAAATATTTAAGACTGACTATTATTTATGAAAAGTATCTTATTTTTGTATATCGGTAACAAAAAAACAACGGTAATACAAGATGGCTTTCAATGTGATAATATAAAATGTCCGTATAAACAAAATTACGTAACAATTTAACCCTAAATAAAATCGAAAGTGAATGCGTACGACTGCGTCGAACGGAACATGCGGTGAGTCCGCGCGATGTTTGACAGTTCATTTTTCGCGCCAACTCACTTTCGTTTCACTTGGCGCGAAACTCGCGTGAAATTAGAATCGCGCCATTTTAGCGCCTACTGTTGCATTGTTGATTACGAAACGTTTTGAATTGTTATTGTTATGGGACCTTATAACATTTTATAGCTTGTGTTAACAAATAACCTATTTAATAATCAACGGTTTCTATGCAAAAGTACATTTTATTTAAATGTAAGAATAATGTAATATACAAATATTATAATTGTTTAATCTAATTATATTTTAAATAGCATCTTCATTAGTTTTTAATGGTGTAAGACGTTTTTGAAAAGCAAAGGTATAAGACCTTTACCATACTATAGTTACTAGTAGACTAGAATTTCTTTACTGTGTCGATTTAATAGATAGATATTAAGGTTAAAAAATTTTACTCAGACTTTGATCGTGTCTAATAAATCAAGGTCAGACATTTTAAATTCGAATTTGAAGGCTTTAGTAGCAATGGGGACATATGTGTCACGATTGTGTGATCGCTTTGCGTGAAACAGAACGCGACATCTTATTACGAAGCGCATTCATCTTAGCTTCACAATGACTTTCGTAACGTTTTGTGATGCAAAAATATGGAAGTCGTTTACCGAATGAAACAATACCTAACACCGGATATTGCACATGTGTAGTAGATAAAATACATTAAAGAAATTCGTCGTTTTAATTAATTTTTACTTATACGTTCCAATTGCAAAGATTTTTAATAACAATGTAAAATTATAACACCGGTAGTCATCTTGTATTTTACATTAAAACAGTTTTACCAATGTAATTTCAAATTAAACTTAAATAAGCATACTAATGAGAAGTTAAAGGAATTTCTTTCATCTAATTTTGGACTATGTTACAATATGATAAATCGAATTAATAGCTTTTTTCTATTATGCAAAGTTTTAACTGGCAACGTTTATCTTTTCTTCAAAAGTGGGATTTTTTTTCCGAAATTTCTACCTGAATTTTCGAATAGAGTAACGATGCCTACTTACCACAAATAAACTACAAACTTACGATAAAATATAAAAAATGAAAAATCTTTCTGTTACTTCAAATAGACACAGAATAAAACTAAAACGTGTTCACGATTCCGATACTATAAATGTTGTTTGTTTTTTAAGTCATTGTTATTTAGTTTTCAAAGAAAACGTGCTTTTGATTTTAGCATCACCGCGATACTGTCTCTGCTGTCGCAACACGAAGACGGTCCATTATAGGACCCAGGGGTACTAAACATTTTACTTTCATTAGAATTTGTTACGATACCAATTATTTGGTTTAAGCACACACGTTCTATCAATCTGTACTGTAAAGTGTATGTAAATTAGAATTGAATTTGATCTACCAATTATATCTTCTATATTTGAGCGCGTTTAACATGATGCGTACTTAATAAGTACATGCAAAATAAGCGTCAGTCGTGTAGTTGACTAAACCATGGGCCCTACCAGCGAATTATTACTATTGATTATAATAATCTATCTTTTTCTTGCCTTTTATATTGTTGCGATTTTAATTTTCAAGCGATATGCATTGGTCAGAAACGTAAACTGTTTATGACCCCTGGCGGCGCCAGAGAGAGGTGTCGGCGAGAGCGGCTGGAAAGCTGCCTCCGGTTTTACTTTTTAATTTTTATATTTAGAACGCGACACTCTTGATCTCAGATTTTCGATCTAGATTTGTAGATTAGAACGGTATTAACATTTGGGAGTTGCAAAAAATTGGGACACTGCGTCTTGGATTTACTTTTGTCTGTCATGTGAAAAAGATTGATGCGAAGTAATTTTTGGCTCTAAAATTTATAGAATATTCTCATTTTTGTATTAAGTCCTCATTTAAATGGATATTTGAAAAAATGTTGATCTAAAGTGAAGGAGTAGAAATTACGCGAAAACATGCTCTTAGACATTACTAAAGTTTTATTTCTTGAATTTTCAGTTTTATATCTAAAAGTTTATATAATTTTATGCACAACTTTAATTTGCAATAAATATAAATAAACATTATATTAAATTAATAAGATTTACAGCAATTTGCATTTTACTTATGCAACCGTTTAGTTATACTGACATTATATCTCTATAAAACATACTGTCATCCTTTTTATTTCTTTTGAAACAAGAGAGACCACAATATGTAAAGATGTTTCGGCAATGGAAACATACTGTGAGTTGTAACGTTGACATCCGTGCGGAAGTTTCCGCCTCAGTATAGATTACGGACGCGTTCTCACTTTGTATCCAATAACGGATATCGCTACTGGATATGTGGATATTGAACTTACGGTGTCTATTACCTCTGACTGTACTAGTTGGAATTTGTAACTAAACATTATTTACACTATTCGAATTGTTTTCAAGTAATTTGTAAAGAGTTTTCTTTTTTGTTTCGAATAAAAAAAAATACCCTAAGCTTTCTTTAGTAAATCTCATCTTAAGGTGAAAACATTAGTAGCATTACTTGAATGATTACAATGAAACGTTTTTGAAACAATTGTTTTATTACTTACGACAAATTGCAGTTTTAAAAGTGTACTATTTAATTTTTCCATCGAGTATATTTCACTTAAAGGCGTTCAAAACCATTTTAAATCGTAATTCTTTAATATTTCTGTTAATTAAAATTTGAAATTCAATAGGCCAAAGAATTAACCTTGGCTTCGAGAAATGGTTTTCTGTAATTACAATTCATGGTCGCGGTATTTTAACTGATATACACTGCATAATTAAGTTACGCGGCCATGAATTTACGTCATTATACGTGAGGTTTAACTGAGAGAAAGCTGTACGCTCTTTCCCCTGCCTCCTCAAAGGTCACTCGTGATTTATGTCGAAACTCGCATACATTTTAATAGCAATCATATTGGCTTGTATTATTGCTATTCGTAATGTTCAGAGAAAATTAATGATTGCAAATATTACTTACTTAGGGGTTTTGTAACCTTGTAATATTAAATAATTAACAAATCAAAGTCTAGTTACTATAAATTACATACTTAAAACGTTTTAGAGTTTGGGTAATAAATATTTTATGTTAACTACGAGTATGACAATTAGTGTTGTTCTCGTTACTAAAAAGAAATCATTCAAACAGACATAATTGATTCGTATGTAAATAAGTTAAATCTTATATAGATTACTATCGAGATAATTCAGTCTTACATAACGTTAATTTGCAGAAAATTATCGTTATAAGTTACGCGTAACATTGAATAATCTGCAATTACGAAAACCGGACACCGCTTTCTCCCTAACGCGGTCTGTCGTAACCTTACAAAACATACGACTCACTGTAGAGCTGTTGTTTATTGTATTAATACCGTATTAACTTGCTGTTGCTAGGGACTTCGTCCGCGTGATAATATAGCCTATGTTACTCACTGATAACCTTTTAATGGTGTAATAATTTTAAGACTAAACAGTTGTGCTATAGTTCAGTTTCAGGTGTGCGCGCGCTTTTACACGTACTTTTGTGTGCCAAATAATCATAGTTTAGAATATGGAAGCGACATACTTCGCATATTTAGCAATATTAGTATATTGGCGACCTCCTGCCCAATATTGTGTCTATTAGATAGTTATTGTTATAGTTTGAGTCCAATTTAAACACAGGTAAAAATAGTTCATCTATAAAGTATTTTTGACAAATGACACTAGACTTTGACTGAACAACTGTTTAGTCGCGCTTTTATTGCTATGAGCTTATGTGAAGGTGCGCACACTACTCCATTTTTAGTTGTGCAACTAAACAGTTGAAATGGCTACGAAACAATCGACAATCGCACAACAGTTGTGCGCCAGTTCTGACTTCAACTATCACGAATTTTTGCGTGATGGTTGCCATTATGTATTATATTACTAGATAATTTTTTGGTGTACTATATCAATTTCGATGACATTTATGAAAACTTTCTCATGAATTTTCGTGATAGGACCCCTGATTAGTGAGGGTTTTAAAAAGTGGTACATGAACATATACTTACATCCCAATTCGTCGAAAAACTTCGATTTATGTCTACTGGAATCGAAATTGTCATTGTTATCACCTTTTAAAGTACTTTCAACTTGTGTATCACTTTCCATCACTTTGTAGTTTTGTTTTTTATTTTTTTCATCACTGTGTATCACTCTTTGTTTCACTGGTATTTTTGCTGATTTGTATTTCAAATTTCTTAACTCTCCATCAGAATCTAATATAGTAATATCTTCATAATGATTGACGACATCAGATTCTTTGCCTACATTTTTAAGTATTTCCGAATTAAATTTGTTTTCATTTAAAAGTCTTATAAGTCCAGGATTACCTTCATCATGAATCATATTTTTACTATAAAACAAATTTTCATTCACCACGTCTTCTGAACTCTCGCATAATACCGGCACTATCTTTTTTAATAAATAAATGAGTACTAATAATTTAGCTGACGAAATTACGTTATGCATTATTGACTTCTGTTACCATTTGGTTGATTTAATAAAAAAGTTTAAGAAATTTTCATTTAACCACTTAAAAAAAACAAAAGACTATCGGAGACTAATCACTTTGTGAACAATCACTTGTTGACCGACTTCTTTGTTCTTCTTTGTTAGTGCACTTCGAGTCCGAAAACTCACGTCCGAGTCCGAAAACTGCGAGTACCGTACACGTTGATAATTGTCAGACTATCGATAGTTACAGATTTTATATAAAAAAAGCGAAAGCGACGGCCGCGAAGTCGAGACGCGGTCGCGCGAGTGGACAAAATTCGATCGTTGACAAGCAAGTTTGGAGAAATGTGTTTACATAACCATTTATAACATAAAGTACATCCGCCTAAAGCACAAATGCAATTAAAATGTAGTTAAATGGTTCTTGCTACGGACAGGACGATTATGTAACATTCACCTTAAGGATTCCATTTAAAAAAGCAAAGGGTATTATCAAAAAGTAATTTATTTTTATCTACATTGGAGTTAATGACATTAAGTGATTACAAGTTCATCGGCTGACAACGCCCATATATTTAGCTATAAATTCGTCTCTGAGTATCACAGTTTACTCTTTTTAGTCTTGACCATCTCTCGCAAGCGTTTCCTTAGTATCTTCCCACTGGGGTTTTTAGGAATTTCTTTCACGAATCGTACACCGCCTCGTAAATGTTTAGGATTTGACAACTGAAAAATTAAAATCTTTATTGATGTTTTTAAATTAAAGTAATATTTTATATTTAAACCTGTATGCTATCTAATATTGTACTACCTAATAAAATATTCGATAGTACAAGTATTCAAATGAAGTTAAATATGAATACTTAATTACAAACTCATAATGTAAAAAAGCACCATTATAAGGTATAGTATTACAATTTAGCAAAGACGTGAATATAGACAGAACAAAAGACCAAGCTAAGACTAAGAATGGAATATTTATTCTGGAAGATTTATCATCTGATAATAATATATAGACATACTCTCTCAGCGACGAATTGCTGAAGTTCTTTCTCCGTTGCATTAGTGTTGGGTTGCAGTACAATAAACGCTAGGGGTACTTCGCCCGCTGATGCGTGTGGCAAACCCACCACACCCACGTCGCGTACTGCTGGATGCTGCAGCAGTACTGCTTCCAATTCCATTGGTGGCACCTCGGATAAATTACAAAAGACAAACATAGACTGTAGGTAGTAACAAATTATTTAATTGGTATTATTTTATAACTGGTATGATAGGTTAAACTAGATCAGAATTTAGAATCGAAGTTCTAGAATATTACAGTCAAGTAATGTTTGAATTGTACTATCGGTAGAAGAAATAGATAGCTACATCTACATTACATAGCTGTTTTAGACTTATTCATTTTTTTTCATAATGTAAAACCGTGTAAAGTGTATATCTTTATTACCCAACGTACCTGATAAGCTTTGTATTTGATAAGTTCCTTGAGTCGGTCAACAATAAAGAAATATTTGTTTTCATCGTAGTAACCTATGTCGCCTGTTTTGAAGAAACCTTCTTCATCGAAATCATCTCCTTTATCTTTTCCCATGTAACCTTTCATTATGATAACGCCTTTTGCACAAATCTCACCCGGTTGATTTGGACCTAAAGGTTCTCTTGTATGGATATCCACGACCTGTGACGATAAATTATTAACAAACCGAAGTATGAAAAATTAATAAAGAGTCATATACGTGCCTTAACAACAGCATTCTTTACAACAAAACCGACACCACCAGGCTTAGCCAAGTGCGCTGTGCTTTGAACATCCCGTGTTACTGCCAACGTGACTTCAGTCATTCCATATCCTTGCAACACGGATAGTAGCTTGGGAAATCTACAAACATTTTAATTAAACAAACAAAAAGGAATAGAGAATTTGATATATCCATTGAAATACTATGTACCTTTTATGAACATCCTTTATAGTATCTCCGTGTAAAGGCGCAGCTCCAGAATATATGACATTTACAGAACTGAGATCATGATTTGATTTGTATTTGCAGAGAGCGACTAACACAGGTGGTACGACTATTAGCAAATTAACCTGTAAAACATATTTTATTAACAATTAGCTTTAGACCGCGACTTCGTCTGTGTGGTATTAAAAAAGTAAGTAGCCTATGTACTCTTCCAGACTATCCCCTTGCCAAATTTCATCGAGATCCGTTCAGCAGTTTCGGCTACAAACTCTGACAAACATTCATCCATCCATCTAAACTTTCGCATATATGATATTAAGTAAGATTTTGTATTATTAGTATTTAGTTTTTGTGTATAAAGTTTTAAATAAATGAGTAAAAATAAGATGTATAGAATGTGTGCAAAGTGCAAAAGAATCTAACAGATCTTGTGTCAAGTAAAGATATGTACGAGATTCCTCTGAGTCAACATATCTGAATGAAGTAATAAAAATATAAGAAACTATAAATAAAAAGATTGATAGAAAAGTCAAAGTTGAAGTTACTATTGGTAGTGAGCATCAACTAGTCATAATATAATAAAAATAAGATTTAGCAACGCGATAATTGTCATGTTGATTCCGTATCTCATATTATACTTATCTTTTCAATTCTATTTCATTACCTTGTATCTTTCTATTGTGTTGAGGTACGATTCTGTTTCAAATTTTGGCAAGAAGACTACTTTGAGTGCTGTTGACAGACCTCGTAGCGTTCCAATGAGGCCCATTGTATGATACCAAGGCGTTATTGTGAGGTTTACTGCTTCCGATTGCATGGTAGGCTCCCTTAAACAATGAGATACTATGTTAATGGTTAAATTTTAATTTTACGTAGAAAAGTGCTTTACAGAAATTAGATCTACAAAGAGATTTTTGAAGGAAAACAAAATAAGCTAATTCTTCAACAACTATCCGATAATGTCAAAACACGAAAATAATCATTTTATCTTAAATTTACAATTTCAGTACATACAAAAATAAAAATCTTTCCTCTTTTTTATATACTAAGCCTACTCGTACTATATTGATAACGTAAAGAAGAAATATTTGTAGTTTTGTATGTATTGAAATAACTCAAAAACTACTGGGTCGACTCTAAACAATTCTTTCATCCTTAAAAAGCTACGTTTTCAGTGAGTAACATCGGCCATTTTTTATTACTATTTTTTTTAATTCACGCGGGCGAAGTCGCTAGCAACAGCTAATTGTTTAGCTATATTATTATAGATTGTATAGATACGTACAAACAGCATGAAACCAATACATTGAGGTGGGTTAGCATAACTCCTTTTGGTAGTCCTGTAGTTCCTGATGAATATAATATAAACAAGGTATCTGTTTGTCCGTTAACTTCTACAACTTCGAATTCTTCCAAATCAATTTTCTTAAACATCTCTCCTTTGGTATTTACCTTCGCTAGATCGTTATATGATAGCGTATTCTTTTCTTTAATATATGCGTCTCCGTATACAATAATTTTATTAACACTGCTAACTGATTTTAGTGTTTTTCCACATGTGTTATAAGTGTTTGGTGAACAGAATACATATTTAGGTTTCGATATACTCATCACATGTTTTAATTCATCTGAAATAACAAATGAAGTACTATTAAATGTAAAAAAGTTTAACAGTGGTAGTGCCCCCTTTAACATCTTAGCACGAATGGGCCGGCACGTCCGGTGTAGTACCACGACCACACATAAGACAGGCGTGAAATGGAAGCAATTCCGTATTTCGTCTGATGAGTGTGGTGCCGAAGGCCTAATTTAAGTCCCTTTCTCTTTACCACCCTTTTCTTATAAGGAGAGGTTGGGAAGGGGAAGTGGATTTGATGGCGGAGGAGATTCTTAGGAAGGGGAAATATCCTCTTTATGTGCGTCTCCTCCTCCGTCGTATAAGGGTAGGCAACGCATCTGCAATTGCGGATGTCTATGGGCAGCGGTCGCCTCACCATTTTGGTGGATTCTAGTGGCCGCTTGCTCGTTTGCCACTTTATGTTATAAAAAAAAAACACGTTTTAGCTTATTGTTAAATAGCTATTCTATTGCTTAACGACAATTAATGTTACAAACTGAATCAATGAAACCATTGAAATAAATATTTCAAAAACCTGATGTTACTTTGTGAAAGGAATGGAAATACTTTTTCCTTGGTGCGAGATGCGTTAATATAAACAAAAGAACATATCGGTAGCTTGCATCTAAATGTTTCTTACTAGTTGTCGCCCGCAGCACTGTTCGTGCTGAATTAATAAAAAAATTTACTTAGTAGTCTACGTGTTTTTCCAGACTATGCTCTACATCTATGTTAAATATGGAGTTCAAACGTTCAGCTTCTGACAACATTCACCTAAACATACAAATTTTTACATAAACAGAAATTAGTGATTATTTTTTATTACCTTTAGTATATCCTGGATTAATTGTAGTCACGACACCACCGGCGCAGACTATTCCAATAACAGTACCCCAGAATTCTCGTCTGTTCTCTGAACAAACTGCTACCACTTCCCCCTTTTTAAGACCAATATTTCTCAATGAAACAGCTATGTTCATTGCCTCTTGAGCTATTTCGCCACATGTAAGTTTTTCGTGTGTTGATCCATTAATCTGATATTCAACAAAAAATACTTGATTGAATTTACATTTTCTCTTTTTGAAGAAACTCTGTTTATACGCTGATATTAGAACTACATGTATTAAAAATGGGCACTCGGGATGGAATAATTTAAATGAAAGAGAGTCATTCGAACATTATCTTTGACAAATAACATTTGAATTTTATTCACATTTATGAATAACTAGTTTTTGCCCGCGACTCCGTCCGCTTGGGATTAAAAAAAAAAAACAAAAGTGAGTAGCCTACGTGTTCTTCCAGACGATTGTCTACATCTATACCAAATTTCATCGAAATCGGTTCAGCCGTTTAGGCCACAAACTCTAACAAACATCCATTCATCCATATAAACTTTCGCATTTATAATATTAATATGTTATAATTATTATATCTTACTTTCGTTTTTAGACTTTTATAATTTGTTATTAAAAAGCAGAACTTACCAATGTTACTTTGTCTTTATTCATCCATAAATTATTCAACATAAACGAACCAAAATTCAAATGTGCTGGTAAATACAGATCTTCCTCACCGTACACATATTTAGGATTTTTCAACATTTTTCAAGACCGTTCTTTATAACGTTACATACGATACTGTTTGATACGGATAATGCAGTAGTTTACCACAGAACAATGACCGTGTTAACGCGCCCCACTCGACTGTGATACGCATAGATTTCAATGCTCTGTGAATGTTTTTGTATCAACAAGAGAGAGCAAACACTGTTATCTTGTACCGTTGTCGACATAATTTGTTATTTCCCTGATAAGTTTATATCAGTTATATTCTATGTTCACGTAATCATAATTATAGAAACATTGGCCTTTTTCAAGGTGTTTGTTTTGATAACTAACAGCTGCTTGTGCCCGCGTGAAATGTCTATACCTAATATAATAAAGCGTAAACATACACTACTTCATGGCGTAAGATGTCAGCAATCACAGCATATTTTTGAATAATTCTTACTTTAATAAAAAAGTCCTACATTTACGAAACGCTTTACAAGCTGCCAACATTACGAAAGCAAAGTTGTCATTTATGCATTTGAATTTTGACATTACACAAATGTAAACAATAATAAAAAGAATATAATTTTATGCGGAAGAAGCCGCACGGGAACAGTTAATTAAAAAATTAAGCCTAAGTCATAGATAATACATATATATACTGAGATAGATGCGACACGGCCGTTTCAGTTTTTTATTTCCTCGCCTTGTTCAAGAGATGGCGTATAAGTGCCGCGCTCACCCACACACACGCACACACCCACACATACTTCAAATGTGTATATTTACATATATTAGGATAAGTGTAAATATCTGCTAAAATAGAAACCCAAAGTTGGAATTAAATGTTTATTGCGTAACCCAATTGGTTATCATACATTTACATATTTCCATTTTCAATAGTGACGTCCTCGAACAGCGTTTTCCAGATTTTCAATATTTCTATTAAACGGCCAGTCTTGGAGAAACGATGCAGAGAACCTGAAAGCATAACAAATTTTACCATACAACGTATTTACGCTACTAATTACCGCCCTCAGTTTCACTCGCGTAGCAAACTGTGCATGAGAGAAGGTGCGAGCAGTTAGTACTTTTAAACATTGTAACAAGGCACTAACAACTCAGCCTGACTGAGTTATAATTTTTACTATAGTATGGTTACTAATTATCGCCCGCTGATTATATAGTCACCAACCTCTAATTCTAAATTATATCATTAGAACAATTTGTTCAAATTCGAAAATCACATTGGTACATGGCAGGATTCGAATCAGGACCTGCAGATTCCAAGTCAAGATACTTGACCCCTGAGCCACCTAAGCTCATAGGCATAGAAAGGCAACACTCACATCAGACTACTATTAAATAGTTCCAATTTTTCCCATTTGAATCTAGTATATCATGAACTTTGATTTAACTTGCTACTTGCTAATAATATTCATCATAAAATCACTGGCACAAACCTGCCGCAAAGTTAAGTTTTTAGTGACCTGATACGTTAAAACTGTGGACGTTTCAATACAACTTTTTTTCTGTCGATGTTGTTGCACTTATAGATATTTTCTGTAATAACAAGTATTGTTATAATTTTCCTCTACAACTAATCTAAATTAACTATGATTACTACATTCTACAGAATACAATTTCAGTTATATTACAAAGTCACCTTACAATCGAAATAACAATTATCGCGGGCTTTTGGGCACATCAGATATTTTCTTTAGTAATTTATTTATTTATTATTAACTTTAGTCGTTTTTAGTTTTGTAAAATTTGTGACGTTTATACGTCAAAACTATTTTTGCTTTTAATTTTGACACAATATTGTGCTGCTATCAAAGAGTTTTGTAGCCATTAAGAGTAACTGGCTGGTTTTTAACGCCATCTAGTCTTAATTTAAACGTTTTAAATGACTAAGTTTCCTAGACTTCTCTACTAGATGATGTTGATTACCGTGCCAAGTTTTTTCAATCATATTGTATGGCAGTGTCACCCCCTTGGCCTATGTTACTCAGTGATAACGTAGCTTTTTAATAGTGAATTTTTGAAATCCGCCCAATAGTTTTTGGGTTATTCCAATACATAGAAATATACAAACCTTTTCTCTTAATAATATCAGTATAGATTACAATTCATCATCATCAGGTTAGATAAATAAAAGGAAAATAATTGCAAACAAAAATTTGTATATCATACAAAATAATCACATCGCATTTATTTATAAAAATATATAACAATTTATAACAAATAACAATTCACCGTATAACGTCTTAAAGCTAATGAAAGTATTGTTAACTGGTTGCATCAAACAATATAAAAAAAACCTTCACCTTTACTCCTAGAAAATTTAAAATGTGAACACGTGTTTAGTTTCTGATGGATAACGAAAATTGCATCAGAAAAAATAATTTAATTACACCTGTTTTTACAGAATTTAACAGACACTAATTAAACCGTGTTACAATTTACTCTTCGAAGATATCACCATTTTCTTTAGATCTTTCCTTAGAATTTTTCCAGTAGCCGACTTTGGTATAGCATCGATGAACCTTACTCCTCCTCGTAAATGCTTTGTGTTTGATAACTGGAAAGGGAAAATAGATCAAGTTGTAAATGATTCAAAATCCAATACATTTTCAAATTTTAAAAGGGATGGTAAATGAAAAAAATAATTAAAATCCTATATTAAGTTAAAACTTAAAAATTGTATCTCAATATCTATATTAAAGTTAGGATCAATTATTACGAATAATAATACAAGGAAATAGTACAAATAATAATCTGCTGATTTTTTTACGAAAAAACCTCTTGTTTACTCCTTAAATTCAAAAGATTAATCTATATCTATACATATAATAAAATTGGAGTGTCTGTCTGTCCGCAAGCCGCGTTTGTTTCGGGTGAACTTCCAAACGGCTGGGCCGTTCTCGACCGGACTGTCATTAAATGGTAGCTGATATATACGGGCATATTATATGCTACTTTTTTATGGACGAAGTCGTGGGCAAAAGTTACGATCAAAATATATTCTTACCCGTTCAGCGACAAACTGCTGTAGTTCAGCTTCAGTGACTTTTGAATCAGGCTGAGTAACAACAAAAGCGACCGGCACCTCGCCGGCTGAAGGATGCGGCTTGCCCACCACTCCAACGTCGCGTACACCTTCGTGCTTAAGTAGCACTGCTTCTATTTCTGCTGGAGCAACCTGGAACATGCGATTCAATGAATTATCAAGATGTTATGATATTAAGAAGGTCGATATTAACCCCAAGAGCAGAACCTACTCGAAGAATGTTAAACTAATGGCTACTTTATTTTATTTATACAAGATTTCTAGATGAATATTTGTTCAATGTATTTTTAAAAGAAGGATAGATAAAATATGTAGGACGAGCTGTTGCCGCGACTTCGTACGCGTGGTATTAGAAAACATACAAACTATATAAATTACAAAAAGCTACGTATCCCTCGGGAACCGGACATTTCTCGGAGATGAAGCTTATCCCATGTGTACTCCAGACTTTGTTTTATATCTGTGCCAAATTTCAATGAGATATGTTGAGCCGTTGCAGAATGATGGAGTAAACATTAAAAAACTAAATTAATAAATCCCACGGGAACCGTAACATTCCAGGGATAAAAAGTAGCCTATGTGTTCTTCCAGACTATGCTCTAAACCTGTGCCAAACTTCATGGAGATCCGTTCAACCGTTTAAGCTACAAACGCTAACAAACATCCATCCATCCATCCATCTAAACTTTCGCATTTATAATATTAGTAAGACTAGTAAGAAGTAAGAAATAAGATTAGTAAGGAGTAAGATGAATTTTAATTGGAAATTAAGGTTGGTTGGTTAAACTCCAAGGAGGGTTATAATCAAGGTAAATGGTAATGTGTTCTGATCTCATGTTAACGTAGAACTGGAAACGTCAACGTTAATCGTATGCTCAACATAGTATCGCGTAAACTGACCGCAATGTCAAGGTACTGAACCCGCGAACCTGATCAAAAGGGTGCGTAAGTCTCTTTGGAAATCCATTTGCCATTCATCCATCCACCAAATCCATGCAAATGCCTTCGTTGTCATTAGTTAATTTGAATTTTGACATTTGCAATTGTGAATTTTACTATATAGAAAAGTTCTTATAATTCCAAGCGGATGAAGCCGTAAGGGAACAACTAGTCGTACAGTACAGAGCATATGTATGAAGAATCTGAGCAACTTGAACGGATATTACATGGGATCTGCATTTAGTCATTCATTGCGTTATGGTTCTAAAATCTATACATATAATAAAATTGGAGTGTCTATTTGTAAAATCACATTTCAAAATTTTTTGCCTGCCTGTCTGCATGCCGCGTTTGTTCCGAGAAATCTCCGTAACGGCTGGTCCAAATCCGACAGGACTTTCACTGGAAGGTAGCTGACATGGATAGGCATACTCGCCGGTCGAAACCGACCCAGCCGTTTCGGAGATTACCCGGAACAAACGCGGCTTGCGGACAGACAGACAGATAGACAAAAAAAATTAAATACAATTTTCGTTCTGTCTGGAATCTGGAATCTGGAATTTTTCCTTCGATATTACAAACAGACACTCCAATTTTATTATATGTATAGATAGATATAGAAGATAGATTCAATACAAACCTGATAGGCTTTGTATTTGATGAGTTCCTTTAGTCTATCAACGATGTACAAATATTTATCTTCATCGTAGTATCCGATATCTCCTGTTTTAAAGAATCCTTCTTCGTCAAAATCATCTTGCTTTTTCTTTCCTATGTAACCTTTCATTAACATTACACCTTTAACACGTACCTCTCCTTCTTGATTTGGTCCTAAAACTTTACCCGTTTCTGGATGGACGATCTGTATATCATAAATAGAATAAAAACTTGTTTTTCAGTACATATCAATACGTCGCCAAATACAAATTAATTTTTCACACATTTCTTTTCTTTAAAACATTTATAGCAGTTTTCTTACCCTAGTATCTTTTGTGGATTTTGAATTTATTTTATTTGCATACTATTCTAGACTTTATCTATACAATGTGTCATATTTAGTTAACAAATAACGCATTATTCACCTTAACAACACTGTTTGAGGTAACTTGTCCCACGCTTGCTTTTTTATCCGGATTGGTATTTATGGAAACCGCTAGAGTAGCTTCAGTCATTCCATATCCTTGTAACACTGCCTGCGCATTTGGGAATCTGTAAAATTTTATCGTTAAACGTATATCGTTTTTTTATATATTCTTAAGCGACCGATTATTAAACTTTAGAACTGACTTATTGTACAGTCTGAAAAACTGGCGGCGTTCCATCTTAAAATTTGGTATCGTTTGATCATTTTGAAACAAGTTGCGAAACAAAAACCTATACATCGCAACTTATAAATGTGTCTGTATGGAAAAAAAGTCGGTTAGTGCCACACGGTCAGTTTCTTTTTATTATTCCCCCTTCGTTTGTACCACTCATTGCTATATAATAAGCTGTTTATAGGAAATTGCGGAGTTTGCAATGAACGATGCAATTTTTCCTGAAAATTCGCGATATTCCACTGCCAGATTCTCTAGAAGTGCGACTGGACATTTAATCTATACTATTATAATAAAGCGTAAACACATACTTGTTTCTTGCCTAAGATGTCAGCAATTACAGCACATTTTTTAATATTTCTTTTTTTAATAAAAAGCTCTACACTTACGTCATGTTTTAGGCTATATGTTTTCACGCCATTTAACTTAGGAGGTAAATATTTCGGATATAAACTCTAATGTGGGAAAGAGACCATAAGTTGCTGCCAACATCAAGGAAGCAAGATTGTCAAGGTTTGTCATGTCATTTTGACATTAGCAATTGATAATTTGACACATGTAAATAATAAAGTTAAATCATACTTTTATGCGGATGAAGTCGCACGGGAACAGCTAGTTATTTATAAGATCTAAAACATGCTGAACTTTTAGTTTCAAATATCTCCTTCTCAGGCACTTCTTATAAACTTCCGAAACTAAATTAGGACAGAGTATATTTAGTATCAAGTCAAATTAAAAAAAAACATATTTTATTTTATACCGTCTCATCACTCTATAGTTCATCTTTTCATACACATATCTGCCACGTTTCATTTAATAATATAGTTACCTGCTGTAAATTATTAAATAGAATTTAATTTTATTGATATGAGATATCCATTTATCAGACAATGACAAATCTATCACTAATACTGAGTTCCAACCGGTTTAGATAAATGTGACCCGATGCCTAATCGGTGATAAAATTATTCGATTAATTGAATATGTAATTTAAAAAGTAATAAATTAATCTTACTATCTATACTATTATAATAAAGCGTAAACACACACTTCTTTGTTGCCTAAGATGTCAGAAATTACACCATATTTTTGAATACTTCTTTTTTAATCTAAAGCCCTACACTTTCGTCACGCTTTAGGCTATACATTTTCACGTCATTAAACGTAGAGGGTAAATATTTTAAATAAAAAACCTAATGTGTTAAAGAGACCACAAGTTGCTGCCAACATCAAGGAAGCAAGAATTGTAATGTCATGTCATTTTGACATTTGCTATTGATAATTTGACAAACGTTAACCATAAAATAAAATTTTCTTAATTTCATGCGGATATAGCCGCACGGGAACAGATAGTAATATTAAAAATGCGAAAGTTGAGATGGATGGATGGACATTTGTTAAAATTTTTAACCTAAACTGCTGAACCGATCTAATTAAATTTGGCATAGATGTAGATGATTGTCTGGAAGAACACAGGTTATTTACTTTTTTTAACACCATGCGGACATAGTCGCGGGCGAAAGGTAGTAAAATTAATAAAATTTCACCTTTTAAGCACTGCATCCGCGGTTTCTTTGTGCAAAGGCGCTGCGCCCGAAACCACAATCATGACGGAGCTCACGTCATGCTTAGTTGGTGACTTGCAAAGTGCAACTAACACTGGTGGCACCACCGACAGTTGAGATACCTGAAAAAATACAACAAAACACGAATTATTTTAAAGATATCGTTATTTAAGCGTAATCGTCCTGACAAACACGTCTGATGAAATCTGAAACAAGTTTTAAAAACATTTCACCTATTTCATCAAACATTTTAAATATGGACTATGTCATCAAATAAAGCCACCTCTACTTCCATACTTCTATATCCATCTTACTAATATTATAAATGCGAAAGTTTAGATGGATGGATGTTTGTTAGAGTTTGTAGCCTTAACGACTGAACAGATTTCGATAAAATTTGGCATAGACGTAGAGCGTAGTCTGGAAGAACACAGGCTACTCACTTCTGTTTTTTAATCACACGCGGACGGAGTCGCGGCCGAAAGCTAGTACTAATATAATAAAGTGTACTCACACACATCTTTGTTATATAGGATATCAGCAGTAACAGCATATTTTTTTGATGATTTTCTACACTTATGACACGCTTAGCTATTTAATTTTAGGGGCCTCTAAATTATAAAAATGTCATCCAAAGAAGTGACACAATCTACAAGCCAATATTAGTTAAGAAGCAAGATTACCATGGTAACGGTAATTATTAGCCAATGACATAGGCCTCCGTTGTCGTTTAAGAATTGGAATGTTAACAGTCTCTATTAAACGGAATGTAAACAATGAAATAAAGTTATTTCTTGTGGATGAACTTACACAGGAATAGCTAAGTGCCATAAATCAAATATTTGACAAACACGTGAAGTTTCGAGTAAAAATCGGACTTTTACAACATGCCTTACTAAGCAGTATTGCCAAGTACGAAAATTTAATTTTTATTGTTTGCAACACACCTTGTATTTTTCTATGGTCCGTAGATATTGTTCAACTTCAAACTTCGGTAGATATATGCTCATTTTCCCTTTTACGAATCCTATGAGGTGGCTCATAAGACCCATAGTGTGATACCACGGCGTTATTGTCAGTGCCACGATGTCCGGCATCTCCATTGTCGGACTGCAAACGATAAGTTTTTTTATCTTTATTTATTAATTAACTCGCTATTGGTAGCGACTTCACTCATGTGAAAAAAAATATAGCCTATGTTACTCTCTGAAAACGTGGCTTCTAAACGGTGAAAGAATTTTTAAAATAGGCCCAGTAGTTTTTGAGTTATTTACATACAAAAATACAAATATTTTCTCTAATAATATAGATGATCCCGGTATGCGACAAATTCAAAGCACTGTCAAAGTGAATACTTTGATTAAAGTATGTTGGCGGAAAACCGCGGTGCCCTACTTACAGAAAACTCGTTAAACGAGACAAAGTCCATCTTGATTTACAATTAATCAATTGGGTAGCAGTGAAATGCTCGAAAAAGAAGAAACTATCCCTGTGCCACTGACAGAACTTTTTTGTACACATTTAAAGGCAGTCTATTGTTTCGCATCGTCGTCAAATAACTGAGCGTATAAGATGGTACACCGCCAAATTCCCTGATTGTATAATATACTGAGTTTGACATTGCAACGCATACTGCACAAACAATTTTTTTTTATTAAAAACCTAATTCTGATTGCTTGAATTTTTTTTGAACACAGTACTCTGGTTTACTCAACAACAAACATCAAAATTATTTTCTTCTGTAGAAGCGCATTGTTAAGAAAAATGCAAAATCGTTGAAATTTTAGATTTTAATTTGTAAAAAACGAAAGAGTCGTTTATTCTAGTTTTATGTTTTCATTTAATGTTCTCACGGGACTAGGAGTATCATTATTTTAATTTACTAAATATAATTTTTAAGGTAAAAGAATAAATTTACTTTATGCATATTCGAATAAATGGAAACAAAAAGTGAACGCATTTAACGGATCGAATTCTTTAATAATGCATTTGGCACGTCTGGAACAAGAATACCATTCTACCCGACGTGCCAACTCTTACCACTTTTATTTGATGTAAAATATTTTCATAATATGGAAAAATACGTACGAGCAAGCTGTTACAACATTCAAATGTGTTATCATAACACCTTTTGGTAGACCCGTTGTACCTGACGAATATAAAATCATAGCCAGATCGTCTTTTCCCACTACTTCTATTGCTTCAAACTCATCTATTTTGACATTTTCTTTCAGCATCGAGTTAGAACCTCCAACTATAGCTAAGGCATTGTAAGACAATGTGTTCTTTGGTATCTCCTCGCCAAAGATGATCAAGTTTTTAATGCCTTCTATATTCTTGAAGTTTTTCTCTTGCGCTTTATAAGAAAATGGTGAACAGATTACAAATTTAGGCTTCGATATTCCCATTACATGTTTCAGTTCGTCTGTAAATAAATAAAATATACTATAAATAAGCAATTTTAAAACGTTCATATGTAAATCTACCAGGTCCCGGTTTAATCACCATCATGTTTTTCGCCATAAACTCCATTTTGAGGTATGAAATGTGTGATAAAAATGCAAATAATATACTTGTATGTAAAAATGGAAAATTTAAATTAATCGATATTTTTACATAACCTTTACATACTTATTATACTGGTAATTAACGCAAAAAGATAACCCGCTAATTTCAAGTAAAATTGCACGAAATTTTTTACTTTAAAATTTGTAGGTAAATAAATATTTGACCATTGGACTTACAATAGTTAGTATAAAATCAACACTTGATAAGAAAACACAATATAATTCTTATGATATAATATTTCATCCTTATTGCAGTAACATTTTTACATATTGATTCACTTTATTCATATTTCATTATTTCCAGGCACCTAAATGATATATATCACATTAGATCACCTATCCACTCATCCACTTGCCACTTGAGGGTCGGCACAGTATGTGCTGCTCTTCCATACATCTCTATCAGCCGTCATATCTGAATCCACTCCTTTCTTATAATTATCCTCTTTCACAAAATCCATCCATACTATCTTCAGTCTTCCTCTACCTTTGTAGCAACATTCAATCTTTCTACAAGCAACAGCAACAATTCAATGCTTTCTGGTTTATGTCCCCATCGTCTCGTCGCATAACATGTCCATACCACGCTAACCTTTTGCTTCTCAATTTCTCCAACACTGGCGTTACTTTCAAACTTCCTCTAATGTACACATTCTTAACTTTCATTATCACCTATCCACTAGCTTGATTAAAAGCTAGCGGTACAGTCGGAGATACTGGCGGTGTTCCAGTATGTAAGCTACAAACGTTTAAACATTTGGAAACGAGACGCGAAACAAAAACTAATACAGCGCAGCTTTAAATGTATCTATACAAAAAAAATCGGTTAGTGTTACGACTAGTTTCATTTTTCATCCCTTCGTTAGCACTACTTACTGCTCTCTAATTAGTTATTGGTACACAGAGGCAAAGTTTGTCTCTTTGCAATCAACAAGGCATTTTTTCCTGAAGTGGAACACCGTAGACTTTCGCGACTGTACCTTCCACTGTAGGGCGTCGGAAGGGGATGGCTGGGGTAAGGTTTCAAAGAGTTTCAAAATTCGAATAAAAAAGAATTTATACTACAATACTCTCTTGGTATAGCCTTCCACTTTTTTTTAATATGAGAAGGGGGCAAACGAGCGGCGGGAACACAAAGGTGGTCAACGACGCCCATGGACATCCGCAACACCAGAGGAACTACAGATGCGTGGCTAGCCTTTGAGGAAGTTGTAGGCTCGCTTCTTGAATAACCCTAAGTCGTATTGGTTTGGTAATACCGCCGAGAATAGACCGTTCTATAATGCGGCTGAGCGGAGCAGAAAGTTCCGCGAAAACTGCACGGTTGAATATCGGCTATTCCCGTAAACCATTACCTAGCGACGTTCATTCCTTAAACGTGTACCGGCACAGCTAGTCGCGTTAGTCAAATAGCAATTATTACCTTTGGTATAACTTGTATTGATAGTGGTAACAACTCCGCCAGCACAGATCACTCCAATAACAGAACTCCAAAACTCGCGGCGATTCTCTGAGCATATTGCTATCACATCTCCCCTCTTTACGCCGATTTTCACCAAAGATACTGCAAGGTTCATAGCCTCTTGGGCGATCTCCCCATATGTTAACTTTTCATCAGTCGCTCCATTTATCTAAAAGAACAAAAATAATATTTTTATATAATAAATAATATTATGTAAGTCTGCCATTCAAAGTAGTTTAGATTTTAAAGGTTAACGTATGTACATATTTGTTCAATTCTCGTGCACATGGCGCCGACCCGCATCGCGATCTACGCATTAACGTTACGTGTTTATGGTAACTAATTCATGCTGGGTTGCTGAAGTGTCCATTTTTATCATTACCCGAAAATTCTTTAGTGTTAGATTGAACAAAGTTTCAACGGAGTAAAACTCAAGCTACGTAGTTCGGAGACGCATTTTATGAAGTTATCGAACTAAAAACAGTAACGAATGGTTAAAAGTAGCCGGGAAACCGGTCATTAGTTAATTAGTTTCATAGTTGGAATTTATTGTGTGAATTAATATTTTTTTAAAGAATGTTCGATGCCAATGGAAAAATTCAGTGCCTTAAAGAAGAATCTAGGTATTGCCGATCACGAGTATTGAAAATTGCTAACTTTATCTTCGGACTTCGCACTTTGAAATCTTTCGAAAACATATCAGAACATTATGAGTCAGATATAATCGAGTGATAAAATGCAAAACATAATCTGTCCAATATTTTATCAACAGGTGTTATTACTGAAAATGAGTCATGTTTAATGTGCATTTTACGCAAGGGCGGATCCAGCTTTGGCGCCAGGGGGGGTCACATAGTCGTGGTCAAGACCAAACAACTCAGGGGGGGGGTCATGAGCCCGATAACCCCCCTCCCTGGATCCGCCGTCCGATTTCATGGAAATCTTAAATCATTGTTTAAGGGCCCACTAACTAAAATAAACTAGTGAATAGTCGCCAATTTTAATAACCTATTTTCGCCTAGCTGTCGTGGACTTCGTCACCGTAGAGTAAAAAAAAAGTGGCCTATGACCTTCCCACAAACATCAGGTACTTTCCAACGAAAGTCTGGTCAAAATCGGCCCATCTGTTTCGGAGTTCACCCGTAACAGACTGTGTCTTGGGACATAAAGACATACAGACAGACAAAAATAAAAAAAAATCTCTTTTTTTTTATAACATAAAGTGGCAAACGACCAAGCGGCCACCTCTATCCGCCAAAATGGCGCCGCTGTCCATAGACATCCGCAATTGAAGATGCGTTGCCTACCCTTATACGATGAAGGACGAGACACACATAAAGAAGATATTTCTCCTTCCTATGCATCTCCTTCATGGTCAAATCCACTTACACTTCCCATTCTCTCTTTAAAGTGGTGGCAGTTTGTTCGGAGAACAGAAGAGAATTCTGGGGTACTGTTATTGGAATAGTCTGCGCCGGTGGTGTCGTCACTACAGTTAATCCAGGATATACTAAAGGTAATAAAAAATAATCACTAATTTATGTTTATGCAAAAATTTGTATGTTTAGGTGAATGTTGTCAGAAGCTGAACGTCTGAATTCCATATTTAACATAGATGTAGAGCATAGTCTAGAAGAACACGTAGACTAAGTAAGATTTTTTATTAATTCAGCACGGACAGTGCTGCGGGCGACAACTAGTTAAAAACATTTAGATGCAAGCTACCGAAATGTTCTTTTGTTTATATCTAAATATCTCGCACCAAGAAAAAAGTATTTCCGTTCCTTTCACAAAGTAACATCAGGTTTTTGAAATATTTATTTCAATGGTTTCATTGATTCAGTTTGTAACATTTATTGTCTTTAAGCAATAGAATAGCTATTTAAAAATAAGCTAAAACGTGTTTTTTTTTATATAACATAAGGTGGCAAACGAGAAAGCGGCCACTAGAATCCACCAAAATGGCGAGGCGACCGCTGCCCATAGACATCCGCAATTGCAGATGCGTTGCCTACCCTTATACGACGGAGGAGGAGACGCACATAAAGAGGATATTTCCCCTTTCTATGCATCTCCTCCGACATCAAATCCACTTCCCCTTCCCTCTCCTTATAAGAAAAGGGTGGTAAAGAGAAAGGGACTTAAATTAGGCCTCCGGCACCACACTCATCAAACGAAACACAGTATTGCTTTCATTTCACGCCTGTCTTTTATGTGGTCGTGGTATTACACCGGGCTAAGATTGGCAGTGGCATTCGTGCTAAGATGTTAAAGCGGGCACTACCACTGTTTTTCATTTAATTTTATTATATGTATAATACTGAATTTGCATTTTCGCGTATCGGCAAATACCACACTAAAATATAGGCTGGATTTTACGAAATAAAATGTTTATTGACCATAATTTTCACACATAATCAATCTATGTCTATACTATTATAATAAAGCGTAAACACACACTTCTTTGTTGCCTAAGATGTCAGCAATTACAGCATATTTTTGAATAATTATTTTTTAATAAAAAGCCCTACACTTACGTCACGCTTTAGGCTACATATTTTCACGCCTTTAAACTTAGGGGAAAACATTTTGGAAAAAAGCCCTAATGTGCGAAAGAGACCATAAGTTCCTGCCAACATGAAGAAAGCAAGGTTGCCATGTTTTGTCATCATGTCATGTCATTTTGACATTTGCAATTGATAATTTGAGACATGTAAACAATAAAATTTTCATAATTTTATGCGGATGAAGTCGCACGGGAACAGCTAGTCTACTAATAAAAACAGAGGTTGTTAATCAGTGATAATGTAAACTACGGTTTTGTGTGTCTATTTGATTTTCGCCATTTTGGCGCTGATAGCTGAGGTTGGTCCTGGGGAGAATTCTCGAACTAACATTAATGACAGAGTTAACATTAAAGGCGCGTTAAAATCGTAACGACGCAAACGCTGTATTTTCTAAGCAATCTCCTATCTATTGTTATATATCTATGTCCTAAACAAATGACAATCGTTTTTTTAGCAAATTAAATAGATGGGTAATGGAAGTGTGTTTTATCATTAATTTTAATACCAAAACCAGTTTGTGTACATAGTTTTTTATCGTATTAAATATATTAAAAAACAACTATAACTAAGACAAAGTTTATTTTGAACAAATAGTGTGAATTGTAGATACGTCAAGTCTTAACTCACCGTTGGTTTTTTTGTTTATACCTGTACACAACATACATATGTCTATCTCTGTTTTTTTTTAAGAAAACAAGAGGGATGACAATACATCGCTGTATAAGTTGTGTAGTTATGATAGCTTTTAATATAACAATACACTTCATTTCATAATTTAATCTACATTTTTATTTATAATTGAAATTATATTAATTTAATTCTTTAAAACTCTATAACGATAAACGTTTACAAACATAAAATCTTTGTTATCTGTGATACAAATGTCAAATGGCCAATGACCTTCAGAAATGATTTCAACATTAGCAAAATAATAAATATTAAAATCTCAAACCAATTAGGTATGCTACAAAACGTTTTAGTATTACATCAATCTACCATAACAAACATAACCTTTAAATACAAGAATGTCGTTTGTAAAGTCTACAATAAGTGTATAATTTGATATTATTACTCACCATAGAGACTTTATCTTTGTGCTCCCATATTTTTTGTAAGAAAAAATCGCCGGCGTTTAATTTGGCGGGCACATGTCTGTCCTCCGGACCGTATACATAAAGAGGATTTTTCAACATTATATAATTTGCTAACAAACACGTCCGATACGCGGCGAACCGAGGCCACTATGGTACAAATGTTTGCGACCGGCAGTGAGTAATCACTAGATTGTACTTGTCGTACGCGTATAGCAATAATGTATTTAACGTATATTACCAATTTTTATGTAATAATAATTATAGTGTGTATAAATAAGATAGATTAGTTTGATAAATGACGCATATGAAGTATCGAATTCAAATTGTATGAAGCAAATGCCGTACTTAATAGACAGGTATCGTAGTGACGAAACAAACACACATAGCGAACAATTTTGAACTATCGATATTCGGTTTAAATAATTATTGAACTGAACTAAAATTATTATTTTCTTATTCACTAATTTTGAGGACAATTCTAGTATTGATTATAGAATAGAGAATTTAGCGATGACAGTAAAAATAGCGAAATCCAATTAGATTACGTACGGCTGTAGTAGTAATAAACATTTATTTACTCTTATTAATTGTTATGGCCATTATTGATTTGAGAAAACAGTGTTTTTGTTTTATTTCATAAGTTATAACTATAAATCTATCGATAACTTCTATAAGAACAAAAATCGAAACTCGATAAGATTCATGACTGATTTTACACAACCCCATCCCTACTAAATTTAAAAAGAATTGTCAAACGATTGTAATGTCAAAGTCAATTTAATGTCAAAAGACAAGTTCATTGTGGGCATTGATTTGCATAAATGGATAGGCGATTGTTTGTAAATGACTGCTTGTGTGATTACGGATTATATAGAAAAACATTCTTTATTTCCGTATAATAAAAAAGCATGAATAATTGCAAGATGACTATCAGTACTTTATTGTATTTTATTTTTTATAAAATAAATCTTATTGTACTTCTTTATTAGATCACATAAGGTTATCCGTTCGTGCTATGTTCTTAAAAAGAGGTACAAAGTTTTGGCTTCAAGTATAATCATATTAAGGACATAGCTTATTGAGATGGTGAACACAGCGCCTATGCAATCTTAAACCATTACCGTTGCGGTCTAGACCGCTTCTAGAATCTTAGAACATTATGTTGACTAACACCGCCTCATATGCACGCTATATAATTTTGGTATTACTCCCTAAAATATCACTAAACACTGTTTAGTTAAACACGTGTTTTAAGTCATTGGTTTTAATTGATATTGTGGGTCATTATAAGTTTCACCATACTGCTTCTGGTATAAATATTTATTACTAGCTTACGCCCGCGACTCCACCCGCCTGGAAAAAAAAACAAAAGTAAGTAGTTCAGACTATCCTCTACACGTATACCAATTTTTATCGGGATCCTTTCAGCCCTCAAAGCATCAAACTAAGACAAACATGCATCCATTATTCTAATCTTCATATTTATAATATTAGTAAGATAACGTCGTAAGGAAAATAATACAACTTTATCCGTGAAGTTCTAATCAACTCTAAATAGTGATATATAACTGTCTCAATTTATTCAAACAGAATGAAGAGGACGACAATACGAGTGGAAACAAGTATTATCAAGCGTCAATTATGCGCGTCAATAATCTTACAACGTATGATGACTAGCAACAATATTGATATACTGATGGAGCGGATAAATATTTAAAAATATAAAAATTAAAGTTTGTGACCGCGTAAATAAATTATGTATATCTATACATGTGAGGAAATTGGACTGTCTGTTTATAATATCAAAAGAAAAATTCCAGATTTCGGGATAGTGAGGTATATGCGTTGCTGATAACGAAAATCGCATTTAAGATTTTTTTGTCTGTCTGTCCGTGTGTCGGTCCGCTGTCCGCGTTTGTTTTTTTCAAAATGTCGGAACGGGCGGTCCGTTACGCTAACGAAGTTTGCGTGCGACAGCTCGTTGTAATAAATCTAAAATCTGTATTATGTAAATACATACTTATTTACCATGCTTGATATTCATCTATGTGACATCTTTAATCTCAAATAAACATTAATTTATTTAATGTCGACTCTATATTTTTGTAACTCTCTGTGTCTCTGAATTTAAGGAGATTACAAAATAGGAAGTCTATATGTTCTTACAGACTATGTTCTACATCTGTACCGTACACCGAGATACATAAAGACGTGGAGATACGTAGTGAGAAACATCTTTCTATCATTTATTCATCCATCCATCCATCCTTTCATCCACTAATCTACACAAACTTTCGCATTTATTTATATAATAGTATGACCTCGTCGGCCTTTTGTTGGGATAAATTGCCCCAGAGTGATGTACAATACAAAATGTCACTTCGAAAAGTGACTCTGGATTAGACGTTAAACTTGTATAATATAATACATTTATTTTGCTAATATTATAAACTAGGTTTTGCCCGCGACTCTGTCTGCGTGGAATTAAAAATAGTATTAAGCCTATGTGTTCTTCCTGACTATCCTCTACAACTAGGCATAGTTGAAATTTGGCAAAATTTCATCCAGATCCGTTCAGCCGTTTAGGCTACAAACTCTTAATAAACGTCCATCCATCTATTCATCCATCTAAATTATTACATCACTACTTTCATACGAACATTATAAATGCGAAAATTTAGATTGATGGATGGATGTCTGTTAGAGTTTGTAGCTTAAACTGCTAAATGGATTTCGATAAAATTTGGCATAGATGTAGAAAATAGTCTGAAGGTACCCATGGGCTATTTACTTTGGTCTTTAATTCCACGCAGACGGAGTCGCGGGCGAAAGCTTGTAGGTTATTTATCTAAGCAAATACAATTATTCACGTTGTTATTTAATTGGCATGCAATTTCCTAAACGACTCGCATTAATGAAGTCCATTAATTTCAATCAATAATATTCTAATGAAATACTTAAAGAAAAAAAAATTCAATTCACTATTGACTTTATTCTCTGCAAAACATATATAAAGTGTTAGATAAGATTAAATACTTTAGATATAAATTGTATTTCATATTTATTCGATAATGTATATCTTTTAATAATTATATCTATACCCCACTGCGTGCTAAGCTACCGAAATACTAAAATCCATTTTCATTCTTGTATTAAATCTGCAGTAATTATTTGTATGGGTGCTTCAGACGATAAAACTTATAAAGATACATATCGCCAGCGTCTTCGTCCGTAAGGAATTTAAAAAAAAAGCAAACGAAGTTCATTTAGAGTTTGCTCTACACCTATGAAAAATTTCATCGAAATCTGTTCAGCCATTTAAGCGGTAAACTCTAACAAACATCCATCAATCCATCTCAGCTTCTGCAGTTATAATCTTAGTAAGATTAAAATATTATTTTGCAAGATAAAAATGTTTTTGTGCAAAATAAATCTTGCAATTTTATTTAAAATAAAAAACATCTACATTAGTGGAAATTTCCTTAGTTAATTAATTCAACGATGTGACAATAGAATACAATAGTAAAAAGTTTATCTAACTGTTTACATTTATATCTACATATTTCATTAATAATCCATTGTCTTGTACGAAAAGTGATTGTTAATATAAAAAATCTGTAAGACTGTCTGTAACCTTATGACCTCTGCGGAAGAATACAAATAGTTTGGCATCTCACTAAACTATAGGTTGAGACCAGGTCTAGTTTAAGCATAACAGGCGCCCTGGGCGAAATTTCTACGGCGACCCTTAATGATAACACCATATAAAAAGTGGCCGTGGCGCCTGTTAACGCGCCTGCGGCGCCCTTTTATATCCGGCGTCCAGAATGTCGCCCTACCCTGACGCCGGTACTAGTTGAGACATTTAACATCACTATCTCCATAAATGGATAGGTTCCAATCAGTTAATTCTATCTTTAGTTCGACTCCTCCTATCATTAGTTATGAGGATAACTGTTACTAACCGCATCCATCAGCGCCAAAATAGCCTTTTAATTAGATCATTCAAATTATTCAGTTTATACCTATTCATTTGTAGAGGTCAGTGTGTACGATACAAGGTCATATCATTTGAGACTTGTGCAGCGCTCCCTATCGGTAAAAAAATATCACTGAGAAACTAGCGAGCACAAACTTCGTTTCACAAATCAAGACGATAAGTACTAGTTGGAGAAAAGTTTGGACTCATTGTACTGATTCGATTCCGAGGATTGACTCGAAATGTTTAAGGTCTTGTGCTGTTACGTTAAAAAACATTGAAAAATTACGATGTTTGTTTTTGTTAGTTACTTGGTAAAATATGAGTTACTAAGTAAATGACGTTAGCACATCTAACTATAAGATTATATTTATAAAATAAGGTAAAAATAAAACATACATCCCCGATCAGTTAAATACCGAACAAGACATGGGTGTTGCGATCGGCTCTCTAACAAGTCATGTCCAAAACGTCATAAAGGACTGCTCAAGGCAGATCCCAGAGATGAATAACCATCGTTGGTCACTACAACCAGACATTAGAGACTTATTGAGGCGCAAGAACGCGGCTACTCGTGCCCACGATATGTATCCCACCGAATTGAACCGAAAACAGCTACGTAAACTACAGCGTGAGGTAAGAACACGCATAGCTGCATTCAGGAACGAAAGGTGGGATTCAGATCTTAGTAATTTAAAGCCATCGCATTTAGCTTTCTGGAAACTCCCTAAATCACTTAAAGGCGACTCGTGCCCTACGATGCCGCCACTCTCACGTCCAAATATGATACCAGCCATGCTGGACGACGAGAAAGCCGAATGCCTAGCTGACAGTCTCGAGGCCCAATGCTCCCCTAGTAGTCTACCGGTCGACCCTGAACACCTCCGAAAGGTGGACAGAGAGGTCGAGCGGAGGAGTAACGTACCCCTTCTCGATTCCATTCCTCCGGTAACTAGCGATGAAGTTGAGGAATTAATTAAAAACTTACGCCCCCGCAAAGCGCCCGGTTCAGATGGCATCACCAATAGGGTGGTCAAACTATTTCCTGCTGCTATTGTACAGCTTCTCGTAACCATATTTAACGTAGCAATGACTCAAGGTGTCTTTCCCCGCTTGTGGAAGGACGCTGAAGTCATAGGGTTCCTCAAACCATCCAAGCCGCCGGCAAATCCCACATCATATCGTCCAATAAGTCTTCTCAAAACCTTTGGGAAGATTTATGAACGCCTAATGTTAACCCGCTTACGTGCTTTTATGACCACGAAAGGTATGCCTATAAACGAACAGTTTGGATTTCGCGCCAAACATTCATGCACTCATCAAGTGCACCGCATTACGGAACACATACTAGCTAAACGTCAACGCGGCCTTAATACCGGAGCTCTCTTTCTTGACGTAGCAAAAGCGTTCGACAAAGTATGGCACAACGGACTCATTTACAAGCTATATGAGTATGGAGTACCCGATCGTCTCGTATGCATAATACGAGACTTCCTAAGTAGTCGCACATTTCGCTACCGCATCGAGGGAGTTTGCTCTAGTTCACATCCCGTTCGAGCCGGGGTGCCCCAAGGGTTGGTGTTAGGGCCAGTCCTATTTACACTATATACCAACTATATTTCGCGCGTACGCGGTGTGGAACTAGCGTTATTTGCCGATGACACCTGCATTTTTACATCAGGCCGTAAGCCTGATGTCATATGCCGGCGTCTACAGACTGCAGCAAGCACCCTTGGTGCCTGGTTTAGGAAATGGCGGATAGAAATCAATCCTACCAAAAGCGCGGCTCTATACTTTTCACGCAGCAAAGAACCTCGTCTCACATCTGTTAAGCTTTTGGACAGCCCAATACCCTGGAAAGACCAAGTTAAATACTTAGGTGTTACCCTTGACACAAAACTCAACTTCTCCGCACACGTCACCCGGGTCAGGAACCGCGCGGCTTTCATCTTAGGTCGTCTTTCCGCGTTAATTAATAAAAAGAGCAAAATGTCCCTTCGGAATAAGCTGACACACTATAAATCTGTAGTGCGTCCCGTCATGACGTATGCTACCCCGGTATTCGCGCACATCTCGCCGAAACAAATACACCGACTTCAGGTGATTCAAAATAGATTCATGCGCAGAGCCACGGGGGCCCCGTGGTACATGCGCAATAGTGATCTTCACATCGACTTGGACTTACTCACCATAGCCCAACACCTGAAGCAGGCGTCGCGTCGTTATTTTGACTCTGCCGTCGGTCATCCTAATTCGTTAGTTGTAGGTGCCGCCACCTACAACCCAATCGCGCTCGGTAAATTTTGACGTGATCATCGCAGACCTAGGCACGTTCTTGACTTTCAAGACGATGCAACAACAATGGCTCAGGCTAGGATTAAACAACTACGACAGACAAAACGCCGTAGTCGCTGTCGACTACGGCAATCATTCCCGCGATACGGCCTCATAGCAGGCAGGTTCTCTCCTATCAATGATAGAAGCGTTGCTGGAGTTTCTTCCGCCACTTCTTCTCCCAGCGCTAACGCTTTCCGAAGTGGTAGTAATGTTAGATGTATTAATAATTATAATAATGATCAGATAGCAGCAACCGATCAAGTCGAGGTTCGACCCTCTCGGGCGCCCTTGAATCGGAATGCTAAACGCGTATTGAGTGACAGCCCAAGCCGAGGTCCCCTCTCGGGGACCCTTGTGCCTAGTCACTCCATGGAGCGACCACCGAAGCGATCTAAGAGCTCTGTGGCCTTCCAATCCGGTAATAATAACGAAGTAACGGCCCGAGCCGAGGCTCCTGAGGGAGCCCTCGAGCCTAGTTACTCATAAAAGAGGTTTAGGCTAAGCACCATCTGCGCTGGGCCACCTCAAGCCCGGTGAATCTGTAAATGCCTCTTCAAGGCAAACAGTGACAAATCAGTCACAAAAAAAAATGAAACATAGTTAATATTTTGAAAGTCATTTATTATTTTTACAATCGCGTTATAATGCAATCGTATATAAAACATTTCCGTATAATAATTATGTTCATCATAAATATCTGTTTAACTCTTTATTTCGCATTTAAATAATATTTATTTTTATTTAAGCATTTGACGTAGAACCTTCCTTAAGATTTTTCCGCTTGGGTTTTTAGGTATTTCCTTAACAAATCGTACACCGCCACGAAGATGTTTCGGGTTTGATAACTGAAACAATATTGCGTAATATTAATGTGTTATCTACTTAACTTTTATCATATGATAAGATGGCAAACTAGCGGAAACTTGAATTTGCCGAAAAAGCAAAGCTAACTTGGCCATAGGCGTACACCAAAGTGTTGCCAACCTTTAATCGACGGAGGAGACGCACATAAATATGTCTTTTCCCCTTCCAATGCGTCACCTCCACCGTCAAATCTACTTTTTCCTCTCGTCTTTTAACAAAAAAGGTCGGAAGGGAAAGAGACTAAGATTAGATTACCTAACTTAAAGTAAATAATGATACAAAGTAAACTTTCTTCTTCAGAGTTAAATTTTGAGGTCTTCAAGCCAAACAAACCTTAACCCTCAAAATTTTCAACTGGCTTCTGTTTCTTATGCTTGAACTTTACTGCATATTTTGAAGGGTAGATTCTTTTACTGATTTACTTAAAAATGTAGGTTTGCTGAAAGAAAAGCTGTTCACATACCCCTTACTTAGGATATGCTCCGAGTCCTTTAGTGGGGACGTTTAGTGAGCTGGTGATGATTTTACGTACCCTTTCTGCGACAAAGTCCTTTAGCTCTTTTTCCGTTGGATTCGCACCAATTTGAGGGACCACGAAAGCGAGCGGCAACTCCCCGGCATCATCGTCCGGTAATCCCACCACGCCCACGTCACGTATACCCGGGTGCTGCATCAACACAGTTTCTATTTCTGCAGGAGGAACCTGAAACACAAATTATACTGCAGCTCCGACTGTATGTCAGTTCGGAATCACCATGTATGTAGTTGTACCAACATTGTCAAGTTTAATACGCAAAATCCAGGCAAGATCAGTTATCTACTGCACTTTGTCTAATAGAATTATGATGATGATTTAGAAACAAACTCATAGCTTGCATTTGCTTCTATCCTAGATCATTATGTTTATAACTATTTCATTGTTCTTTTGCATACTTTATAAATTCTTAAAATAAAAGCTAGTAATCCAGCTATCTGGATTGTGTAAAAATTAATTAAGAGTATTGTTTTACCTGGAAACCCTTATACTTGACTAATTCTTTGAGTCGATCTACAATATACATATATTTCTCGTCATCATAATATGCGATATCTCCAGTCTTATAGAAACCTTCTTCATCAAAATCTGCACTTCTATCTTTTCCTATATAACCTTTCATTACCATAGGACTTTTGAAACATAGTTCACCGGTCTCGTATGGTCCTAACGGTTCACGCGTATCTATGTCAACTATCTAAAAAACAAAAGAATCGTTAATTAATTAATCATAATTTTAAACAATTTTGAATCAGACTATGCTTGATTTTTATTATAATAAAATTCAATCTTAATCTATTTCTATATAATTTAAGTATGGAATTTAGTGTTGCGATAATGCCCAAAAGCTGATTAGATGAGTTTTCGAATGTCATTAAAATATAAATATAATGATATACTAGCCTTAACTATTGTATTATTGACAACTTTTCCAACGCTCCCCGGCTTACATTTTTTGCCATTTACATGTGAGTTTAATGTTATCATCACCGTCGCCTCTGTCATTCCGTAGCCTTGGTACACGTCTATCAAATTTGGAAACCTGTAATTCAAATTTCATGAGACTCGGTTCAATAAGAAAGTTGTTTTTTATCTCCCTATTTTCAAAAAATATACAAAAACGGGAGAGTGGTGCAAAATCTAATGAAATTTCCTGCTAACGATTTATTTAAAAAAAAAACTAGATAATGAAGTACTTTTTTTTAACAGCATCGATTGTATCCTTTTGTAAAACAGCAGCTCCACTAAGGATCACTTGTACTGTGCTCACGTCATATTTGATATCTGTTTTGGTCAATGCCAGTATCACGGGTGGCACCAGTATTAATTGATTGGCCTGAAATAACAAAAAATATTAAGTTCTTAACTACATTGATGTATTTCATTTGAAACAGCGTTTGCAACAAAAACAAACTCTAACTTAAAATTTCCATCACAACCGTTAGCTTTTAAAACTGTACGCAGAAGTTTTAGAAATGCTGTCTTTCTAAAATAATCTTAATTTGATTATCGCTTTACTAACCTTGTATTTTTCTATAGATTGCAAATAAACATCAATATCGAATTTCGGTAGAAAAACTGTTTTCGCTCCGTTGCCCATGTACACGAGCATCATCATTAAGCCCATGGCGTGGTACCAAGGACTTATGTTCAGGACTACCAACTTCGGATCACATACTTCAGGTCTGAAATGAAGTCGCGTTAACTCAGATTCCCTTCCCTGTACACCAAAAACAACTTCCTCTTACTATATTTCTTTAGAAAAAGACGGGAAGAAGACTGCGATTGCCATCGGCACTCATGTAACAAATTTAAACGTGGAATTACTTCCAATTCGCGCTCGTCTTCTAAGGTCGCAAGTTGAGAAGAACATGCAACAACTAATGCTTCTGTGGACTCTACCACAGATATTGTTACTTTAACAACAGTAAATACTTACACAGAACAAGTAGCGATTACATTAACATGACTTATCATGACACCCTTCGGCAGTCCAGTTGTGCCTGACGAGTACATTATAAATGCGGAGTCTATCCGTCCATCCACTTCTACGGCGATAAACTCTTCTACATTAACATTTTTTTTGATTAACGAACCAGTTGACGCTATCGCTAAGTCTTTATAACATAATGCTCCTTTAGGTCTATCGTCATCAATGAATATAGTCTTCTTTATAAAGGCCAGGGACTTAAAGACGCCTTCATGTATTTGGTATGCTTGCTTTGAGCAGAACAGATAGTTTGGCTTTGATATATTCAATATATGTTTCAGTTCGTCTAAAAAATATTGCATACGATCAATAAAATTTCGATGAAAACCCCACCGGACATCAGTTTAAAACTAAAAATTAATATATCTTTGATTACGGTCCGTGAAAACATCGTGTAGTTATTTTCTTTCAATACTCCTTTAGTTTCATTCATTATACTATGTTCATCTCTGTATATCTGGATATAAATAAAAAAATAATATCTGGACCCAAAAAACGGAATCCTGTTCTACCAACCTCCCAGTTAGATTGATATCAGGGTAGTGACATGTTACCTTTAACATATCCAATGCTAATAGGAGTTACTATAGCGCCAGTACTAGCAACAGCCATTACAATTGACCAGTTCTCTAATCTATTCTCCGCGCATACTCCCACCACGTCTCCTTTCTTGACACCAAGGCGGACAAGAGAGACCGCGAGATTGACCGCCGCCTGAACAATCTCGTTGAAGGTTCTCTGTTCCTCGGTGACGGCATTTATCTAAAACATATTAACATTTTAATTATTTCCATCTATGAGTCCACTATTAAGGTATACTACAAATTTTTTGGTCAATAATTTAGTCGTGTCTGACTGTCGCGCCGAAATTATATAAAACAAAGTCAGTGCAATTGGCGTATTCCCATACATGTCATTCCCATTCATGTCTAAAAACATTCTACTAATTCCCATAATTAACATAAGTAATTACTTACTGCTAATATTAGCAGAGTCCATAAATATTGTTTATTATAAAAATATCCCATACAATTTAAAATAAAATTACGAAATGAGATTTTTAACTCACAAAATAAAACATCACAATTACTTTAATAACACTGAAGGTTGTAATAAAATACAGATAACAAATTGCCCATTCAAAGGAAACAATGGCAAAAATAAAAAATATTAAAACATGGTACACGCACATAAATAAAAGAACTTAATTCATTTTAAAGAGAATAAATGCAGTCGTGTGAAAATATTCCAAACAAAACGATTTTTACAGAGTAACAAAAAACATATGAGCAAAATTTTCTATATTGGGAATTTTTCTAAACTCGATTTTCTTCTCATAAATATTTTGATCTTAAGTTATTGTTTCAGACTGTGTAATTTGAATGAATGAATGAACGAGTGAATATGTATTTAATGCCACAAAAAGGAAATTACATAAAAGGACTTACTCTAAAGAAAACATACAATCGCGGCAAAAGGTAGCCAGCTCAGCGTATGCATGACGGACTAAGCCGATTCTGTGCTGATTTTCAACTGGCTCCTTCGCACTTAAGTGACATATACCTTAATTATTAGGGTAACCGGCCGTACTTATTACATACATATACAAAAACAAAACAAAAACACACTTTTAAAAAGAAAAAATAATAATTTGGCGGTTTAAGTTTTGATTCTAACATCTTTAAGTTCAAAGTATTACTGAATGTTTATCTTACGCATAGAAACGACATAAAAATAAGAGATAAAAACTGTTTGTTGACAAACATTTTGTAAAGGCTATCTATATATTAATGATTTGAAACAATTTCTATGGCATAAGATCGTTTGAAAGATAAAACTTTTATAAGTGACAACCTTAGTAGAAAAAAACACCAGAAAACATCTAGTTAGGAATATATTAGGTTAGAACTTGAGTATATTTCAACGTATCGATTTACTAGCGATCAGCCCCCCTAGACAAAGTGACTTTCGATTGGCGCCATCGCTTGTAGAATCGACAAAATATATCAAAAAGTATAGGAACGAATACGCGACAAGCACGTGACTTATCGAATGTAATTGCTAATCCACACATTTTGGACTTTTCGATCAGCGAAAGCGATAATCGAATGTTACTTTGTCTAAGGGGGCTGTATTCACTTCGCACGAGGGGACATACGTTTAAAAAGAAACATAGTCTATATGTTCTTCCAGAATATTCTGTACATCAGTGGTTCCCAAAGTTGCCTAGGCTACGACCCATCTAATGGAAGTTTCACAACTCAGGACTCACCTTTAGGAAATTTAACCGTTACCGATATTGGTAACCGTATTGAACGGGAGTTTTCAAATGTAAAGTCTACATCATCTAGTAACATTGGTATCGATAACACTTAAATTTGTTAATGAATTCATTCAATATCTGATTTTCCAAATCTGAAATTTTAGCTGCATTAACAATCTATCAGTGACAAACATTTTTTGTTATAATTTACTCACTGTCTTATCAGTTAATAACAATATGATTTTTTATTACTCTTGTATGAAAGTTCAAAGTACATAAAGGTTGGATGTTGTAAAATCTTTACAAATACCAACTAACATAGAAACATTTATTTAGTTATCTTTGTCATCAAATCTTGAAATTTAAACTTGATCCACTTCCCTGTTATCGATTGGACTGAAATTTTGCATGAAAGTATAAATCGCTTGATAATGTAATGTTATGACGTCATGGTTCTTACATGAATCTTGAAGGTGACAATTCTTGAAGGAACTTCTCATTGAAACGTCACCTCATCGAATTGACTATTCGTTTGATACTAAGAGTTATAATCTTACTAAAATTAAAAAAAAAATACATATACATATTACAAATATTTTTTTTAATAAAAAGAAATCTTACTAACATTATGAATGCGAAAGTTTGGATGGATGGATATTTGTTAGAATTTGTAGCCTAAATGGCTGAACGAATCTCAATGAAATTTGGCATAGATGTAAAGGTCTGGATGAACACATAGGCACATTTCTTTTTTAACTGTACGCAATCGGAGTCGCGGTCGAAACCTAGTTATATATAAAAACTTACTAAAATATTAAAGCATTTTTTTTATATTTTCTTTTAATAAATGTAGTTACGTAATACTTATATCTCTGACATATTTTATATGACACTTTTAACGATCACATAATATATTGTAGGCCAAAGGTCCTTGGTGGTAAAGTAATTTACAAAGAGTTGATTTGTAACAATGTTGAAAACACCATATGTGAAAACTGAAATAGCCTATTTGGTATATTTGGTCTTGCTTAGCCAAATATACTGGACATAGACAAATTGTACACGCTGACGTTCAAATAACACATGATTATATCTTCACAAATATAATTTAATAATACTGCCTAGATATTTACCGTGTTTGGTTACATTATCGTGTTTTATCTCAACAATTTGATAACTTTGCTTGAACATAGTAAGTAATCTCTCAGCAAACATTCAGCATGTTTTTGCTTTGAGCGGCGCGAATATTAAAGTTGCTAAAATCTTTAAAAATGGAGCAGAAAAAAGGGAGTTTTCTTAATATTTACTATTTTTAGCGAATTAAATAATTCCTTGGAAGATATTTACAATTACCATTTTAAAATTACATCGAAATTTCGCAAAGAATTCGGTTTTAAAATTTCGAGAGCGTCTTTAGGAATTTAGCACTTGTTTTTTTTTATTTATTTTTACAGGTGGCTTTGTCGCGAAGCGACGATAACGCCCCATAAGTCTAAAAGTTACAAAACTCAGTTATCCAACTGCTTTCTTAAATGTCGGCCAACTTAAAAACCATCCCGGCCTCGTCCGTAGACGGGTAAGCCAGGATAGTGTTTAAGTGACCGACATTACATCCATAACTCTTAAAATATTTATGTCTAAAACGATCGTTCCGAACACACTCCAATATCTGCTGAACATCTTCAACTACACGACACTCACTGCAATTAGCATTTGATTTGTAATCACGTCTTGGGTTCGAATCCCGCCATGTACCAATATGTTTTTCTATCTCATACGTACCTTTACAACGTGCGCACATCTGAAACTAAACTATCGCACAATTGTTTTGTCTCGCTTTATAGACACTACTCTATGTTTAGTTATGCAACGAAACAGTGAAAATGGCTGCGAAACAATCGAAAATCGCACAACAATTGTGCATTTGTTTTCATGCGATGGTTTGCGCCCACTCTAATCGTTCTTACGGTAAAGGAAAACATCGTGATGAAACCTTCACATTTCTGCGAAGATATGTGTGAAGCCAAACCGCATTGATCCAACGTGTTTCACTACGGACTAGTCACTTTAAAAAAGCAAGACAAATAACATCCAATTCAATACTCTATACTTCCTTATATCATATATAGACTACGTACGGTCGTCGACACCAATTCGTTGATGATGTCATTGTGCTCTACTTTAGCCTTTCCTTAGGTTTCGACTACCATGACTTTCTATTACCGGATATTGCGACCTTCTATCGGGAAATATAATCAATGAGATGAAGTATGTAATATGACATGTATTAGCAATCGAGTGTCCAAAAAAACTACAATTTATAAACAAAATATATCAATCGTAACTAACGCAACTAACTTATGAAAAAGGTTGGAGGAGGCCTATACCCAGAATGGGGTCCAGTTACTGGAATAAAAAGGCTAAATTAATATAAATAAACAAAAACTAACGCAATAAATGAACATTTTACTGTAAAATGACGACAGTAAGTAATGTTTACTAAAATTAACTCAAGCAAAAGATAAGTTAATCGTGAAAAAATTAATAGTTATGTTTTTTTTTATTTTATCGTCAATGTTTTTGTTTAGCTATATTTAAAAATAAATATCGACACTTGTTTAAAATTTATTAAACATTTAAAAAAAAAGTATATTATGTATTAAAAAAATAATTTTAAGATATAATTAGATAAATAAATAGTACATACCAATGCTACTTTGTCTCCGTGTTGTTTAAGTCCTTTCACCAAGAAGTCTCCGAGATTCAAGTTTGCAGGTATATTGTTTTCATTAGGACCGTAGAGGTGCTTCGGATTCCTTAACATGTTACACGTTGTCGCGATAACCGAGTCAAATGTACAATGATTGGCAATAAACGGACGACACATAATTATATGTATATTTCCATATTACTTGACCATGAACTTTGACCGTTTATTTGGGCACTTTTTTAGTTTATGGCCTTTTTTAATTGGTAACAACAAATCGATTGTAGGTATCTAACGGTAGTTAGGGAAGTTTAAGATATTTTATGACCTTAAGGGCAAAATAATACTAGTAGGAGTGGATGAAGATTATATGATTTTCACAAAGATTGAAAAATCTTAAATTTTTACTGTTGATAAAGGAACCTTGAACTCAATTACATAAAGAATCTTATACTCCATAAGAACTTTCAAGGGTAAGGTTTTTTTGTATATCAATTCGAATATTAGGTTAAAAAAATCTATTGTTAAAAATTACCAAGCGCGTAAGACAGGCCGAAATAATTTTATGTAGAAAAGCATATATTTAAATTGCTATTTGCACTCTACATAAGGAAATGGGAAGCGCGGTAAAATTTGAAATAACGATATAACTTTTGAATGATGTAACCCAGGCGTAGTTTAGTTTAGCTTTCCAACTGGCTGTTCTAAAAGCGCGGTTCTATGTATGACTATCTAAGCTAACGTGAGTACTTAATCGGGTTCAAGATTCCTCTCATGTTTGTGCACGATCGAGTAAATCAGAAAATCCTCGCTTCACCGGAAACCGGAACAACATTACAGATAATTTCAATAAGAAAAGAATAATAAAATAATTGAATTATTTGGGGTAATTAGATTATCAAACGGAAAGGGAATTTAATCGAGAAAACTACACAATACTCACTGTATAAAATATAAACTTCATCAGTAAATTGGTGACAACTGCGAATGACAAGCGATACAAAAAGTCATTGAGGTTTATTAGTAGACAGGCTTAACACCTTGGTATTTTGTGGCTTAGATTTTTGGCGCTGTCGGTCTCCGTTGGGGGTGTAAAGATTTATGCTAATAATAGAGACGAAATGAACTGTCATTATTATTGTTTTTGTCGGTACGAAGCAAATACTATCGTTTTATAACAATGTCATATCCATTTATAGAGATCAGTGGAAAAATGAAACTCTCCACCCACTGACCTTTACAGACGATCTCGTTAATTCCAGTAAAATGGTGGGAAACGATTAACAGCATTAAAAAAAGTCTAATTTAAACTACATAGATAGTTCACGTTCATGTTTTAATAGGATAAGGTGGCAAAAGAGGAAGCGGCCACTTGAATTCGCCACAATTGCTTCCATTTCAAGTATCTCTCTTGTGCGATCATTGTTTGCCACCGGTGTATTATTCTAAAAAATATAGCTAGGCATTGTATAGTTACACTTTGATTTAAGGTTATGTTAAACAGTGAGAAGATGCTAATGATGATGAAGTAAAAATTATTTATACACTAGCTTTCGCCCGCGACTCCGTCCGTGTGGAATTAAAATAATCAAAAATACTATACTCTATAGTATCTATATCTATACTCTATAGACTATACTCTACATCTATGTCAAATTTCATCGAAATCCGTTAAGCCGTTTAGGCTACAGAGTCTAACAAACATCCATCCATCCATCCATCTAAATTTTCGCATTTATAATATTAGTATGAATTATATAGTATGATATTGAAAACACATTTAAAGATGCTAATGTTAGAAGAATGATTTGTATTTTTAGCATTTTGTATGTATCTAAGTAAGTAAAATAAAAAATTAAGGTAAAATAATTAAGAAAATTGTAATACAAAATTTAAAACTATTTAACTTTTACATATTTCGATGCATCTTTGTATTTTGCTTGTACTGTAACTTTCAGCAGATACTCACAGTAACTGGCCGCACTGCCATGCCGTAATACAGTTTTTATACTAGTACGGAGGGTAGCTGAACAATTTGCTAATAAGCAAACTAGCCTACAGATTGTTTACATACTTATTTAAGTACTTTACTGTTTTTTGTTTATTTTAGTTTATGTTTAGTGTGTAAAAAAAATGTAAATTAGGTTAAGTTTGTGGTAATTTTTCTTAAAATAAATATTTTTTCATTTTCATTTTCATTTGATTCACGCAAAAACTAGTGGGCCGATTTTAAAAATTCCTTAACCAGGATAAAGGTAGTTTACCTGTAAGTAACATAGGCTGTATTGTTTTTTTTTATTTCACGCGGGCGACGTTGGGAGCAACGGCTAGTACACAATAAAAATAGAATAAAACCGTAACTAAATCCAAAGCAATATAGACGACCTGGTACCGTCTACATGTTAGTGTCCCATGAACCGGCAGTCAGGCTTCGATATTAGCCCTCTTAGAATTGTTCTGGTACTCTTCAAAACCGTGTATGACATTAAAACTATCAATACTGTCACGTGGAACATCTTTGTTGCGCAGGATGTTTGGAACTGGCGTCTTTTGACTAAACTATTGCACATCTGTTGTGCGGTTGTCGATTGTTTTGCTGCCAATTCAACTGGTTAGTTAAACGAGTAAAGATCAAGTAGTGTGCATAATATAAGCTTATAATAAGAATCAATTCAGGTGTCAAACTCGTAATCTATAACATGATATGTTTCTTTTATAAGGTCCTGAATATTGTACTCTTTCAATCAATGGCTAGAACTACATCTATACTTACTATTATAATAAAGCGTAAACACACACTTCTTTGTTGCCAAAGATGTCAACAATTACAGCATGATTTTAAATAATTAATTTTTAATAAAAAGCCCTACACTTACTTCGCGCTTTAGGCTATATATTTTCACGCTATTAAACTTAGTTGGTGAATAAATTGGATAAAAATCCTAATGTGGGAAAGAGACCATAAGTTGCTGCCAACATCAGGAAGCAAGATTGCCATGGATTGTCATCATGTTATGTCATTTTGACATTTGCAATTAATAAATTGTAAAATGTAAACGATAAAATGTAGTTTTTATAAATACCTGTGGATGAAGCCGCATGGGAACAGCTAGTGTATCTATATGTAATGATCGTGAACAAGCTATAACTATGAACGGCTATCTTATATAAGTACATGTAAGGCGAAATTTGTGAGTTCATTGTAATTATGGTAATTTGAAGGTAGAAAAACCTCCTTTTTATGTGTTCCTCTACATCTGATCATACGCATAAAGCAAAAAAAAATGTTTATGTTTACAGTATGGAAGTTCACATAATTATCCGTATATGCATAAACTGAATAATTAATTTGTAAACCGAAAAGAAAAAAGTAATTGATAAAACAACGAGGCCAAACTACATTCGTCTGTAAAACATATAAGAAAACTAGCAGTTCCCGTGCGGCTTCGTCCGCATGAAATTATGAATGTTTTGTTTCATTGTTTACATTTGTCAAATTATCAATAGCAAATGTCAAAATGACATGACATGACAAACCTTGGGAATTTTGCTTCCTTGATGTTGGCAACAACTTATGGTCTCTTTCCCGAATTAGGGTTTTTATCCAAAATATTTACCCCCTAAGTTTAATGGCGTGAAAATATATAGCCTAAAGCGTGACGTAAGTGTAGGGCTTTTAAATAAAAAAAGAATTATTAAAAAATATGCTGTAATTGCTGAAATCTTAGGCAAAAAAGAAGTGTGTGTTTACGCTTTATTATATATAGTTTAGATATAAACTTTAAATATCTTCCTGTCAAAAGTGTTCTGCAAACTTTCAATCCAGCAATTTCCATTGTATAGTGCAAATACTTTTTGATAAGGCTAGTTGAATATTGGAAAACAAAGGCATTGATATTTTAAACCAAGGCGAGTGATAAAATTATTAAAGTTGTCAATAATAATTACAGAAAATTGAAATATTAAAACTTTTAAAATAATCCCGAAGTTATTCTAAAAATAGTTATATATATTAATGTAAAGTATTTTTCTCATTCTGAAGTATCTCTCGTAGATGTTTTCGCAATATTTTTCCGCTCGGATTCCGAGGTATTTCTTCAACAAATCGCACACCGCCTCTTAGATGTTTTGGGTTTGACAACTGCAATAAAAGATTGTTCATTGATTAAATAAGTAGGTACCTAATTATTTTAAATCTAATAGATTTGCTCGTAAATCAAAATGTTTTTTTTTATTTAGAGGTTCAAAAACCTATCATGACATACTTCGTAGCAAAATGTACAACTACAATTGTGATTAGGTTCCAAAAATTATAAAATTTGAGGTCTATTAATTTCTTTCTCTGACATCTATCAATATCCATACTAAGATTATAAAGACGAAATATGTAACTCAAAAACCGCTGGGCAGATTTCAAAAATCCTTTCATGTTAGTTACGTTATCAATTAGTTGTAATTATGCAACGAATTTTAAGTTCGTTTATGTTAATAATACACACCCGATCAGCGACAAACTTCTGCAATTCTGCCTCATTGAGGCAAGCACCGGGTTGAGGCACCACAAAGGCAAGAGGCACCTCACCTGCCAATGCATCCGGCAGCCCCACCACACCAACATCACGTACGCCTTCGTGCTGCAGCAATAGCGTCTCTATCTCCGCCGGTGGAACCTTGTGTTGTAGAATTAAGAATGTTTGTACTTTTATTACTTCATACAGCAACATCTAATCATTAAGAGATCACATTTAAAGGCCTCATTATAAGATCACAGTTAATTCCCAATAACGCACACTAACCTATCTTAAGTTAGGGGAGACAATTCTTGAGCGTGAAATATGCATTTCCCTCTATAAAAAATGAGTTCTAAGCCGTAGTCTCCCACACTAACCCATTGCATGTTGATTGTCTTATTTAAGAGCCAATAATCTACTAACTTTAGCAAACGAAACTTACTTCGTGCGGAATAAACATTTTTTAAATCAGTCTACACTCTATTTTACAAAGCAAGTCTGTGTTAAATTGTATCAGTGGTAGTGTAGTCTTTAACAGTGGTAGTGCCCGCTTTAACATCTTAGCACGAATGGGCCGGTACGCCCGGTGTAATACCACGACCACACAGAAGACAGGCGTGAAATGGAAGTAATTCCGTGTTTCGTCTGATGAGTGTGGTGCCGGAGGCCTAATTTAAGTCCCTTTCTCTTTACCACCCTTTTCTTATAAGGAGAGGATGGGAATAGGAAGTGGATTTGACGGAGGAGGAGATACATAGGAAGGGGAGATATCCTCTTTATGTGCGTCTCCTCCTCTGTCGGATAAGGGTAGGCAACGCATCTGCAATTGCGGGTGTCTATGGGCAGCGGTCGCTTCGCCATTTTGGCGGATTCAGGTGACCGCTTGCTCGTTTGCCACCTTATGTTATAAAAAAAAAAAATCCAGACATCTTTAGCAGTTTCGGAATTACCCGCTATGAAACATCCACACATCTACACTTTCGCATTAACATTAGTAAGGTGAGTTTTCCTTCAAAATGTTGTTTTTTTCTAAAGATCTTACCTGGTAACCTTTATATTTGATTAATTCTTTCAATCTGTCCATAATAAACAAATATTTCTCATCATCATAATATCCGATGTCGCCAGTTTTGAAGAAGCCGTCATCAAGATCTTCACTTAAGTCTTTTCCTATGTAACCTTTCATTAGCGTTGCGCTTTTGAAACAGATTTCTCCCGTTTCAAAGGGACCTAACGGCCTTCTTGTTTCTACATCTGCAATCTGTAATAAAAATAGTTAAAGCGATTACTACTTTCTATTACGTTAATAAACGTGAACAATGATCAAATAAAGATCGATCTCTTTGTTTTTTTTTTTTTTTTTTTT